CTCTGTGTAAACGCTGTATAAAAAGAAGAAGAAGCAGAAGAAGCAACTCTTCATGTGAAGTTAAAGGCAAAGCAGACGCCGCCGGACTGTCGAGTTAAAATTAAGAAATAGCAACAACAATGGAAATTGAAACATTGTTGTAATATCAAAAGCAACAACAAAAACAACAACAATTTCATTTTGTAATACTTTTCTTTTTTCTACAACAACAACAATTTGTATTAACATTTATTGTTGTTTTTACGTCTGGGCTGGCTTTTTTTTGTGATATGGTATTTTTCATGATTGCATGTGACCCCTTGAATGTGCATGGGTGTGTGAGTGTGTGTATGTGTATTTTCCCATTCACTTAACATTTACTTTCCATTTTTTTTCTGGTTGGACTCCAGTTGTTTGTCGTTGTTGTTGTGGTTTTTGTTGCTTCACAAAGGGAAAAGAGCAAAGAAAGACTTGTTGACTAAGGTTGTGGTGGCGGCGTTGCCAATGTCCGTTGACTGCTCTGAACTGTCAGTATGCTACATCTGCAACCAATAAAAAAGAGAGTGAGCACAGAGATGGGTGGTGAGGGGTATATAGAGAGGGAAAGCTGGGCTTAACATCAGGTTTACAAAACACACACACGCACAACACACAACAAAAGCGAAAGGTAACCAAATTTCTTTGTGTTGTGAAAGGCGGCTAGGCCCGCCTGATCATGTTGCTCTGCTGCTTACTTTCGAAATAACAAACGAAATGAAATGGAAAATGTTACATTTCATTTTGTTGCATTCTCCAAAACAATAATGGTCGCGTTATATTACTATGTGGTAATAGTCTGTGTCAAAGTAAATGTTTTGTAAAAAAAACCAAACCAAGCATTTAATTTGAAAGTTTTGTCAGTAAAAGAAGCAAGCAAACAAGCATATGATCAATTTTTTATTGTTTTTTTTTTTTTAATTTTCATTAAGTGAAGTATGTATGTAACTAAAGAATCTTAACTAAAGACACAAAAGGGGGAAAGAGATTAATTAACAGCAACAACAAAAATTAATGAAAACAAAAAAGTCTGCCTTTCACAAAAAGCTTCACATCGCCAAAGAAGAAGAATAAGAAAACTCATTGTTTTTTTTGGTTTGGGTCTGTATCTCCTCTCTATCACATTGTTGAGAGATTAGGGTTGCCAATACTTAATAAAATATAAAATAATTAGCTCAAATGCAAACAGAGTAGAATTTCTGAAAGTGTCTATTAGAAAATCCACAAAAAATATATAGACATTTTGAAGGTAATTGGTGAGGAATGTAAAAAAATGTTTTAGTTTTATGAATTATAGTACGTTTACAGTGTACCGGATTTATTAAATCCAGTAGATCTAAATTGTCAATTTCATTACATAAAAGTCATTTAAATCCTCATAGAAGTTAACACGGCAAAAAGTTCTAAGACCGTTTTAAATTTATTTGCAAGGGTATTGAATTTGGAAATGAAAGATATTTAGGTTTTTGTTGATAACTAAAATGGCGCGTATTTAAATGTGACAGATGTCAGACCATCGTCGCCAGGTAATGAATTATAATTAAAACTGGGAAATTTTTTAAAATTTATAAAGAGAAATAGATTACAATTTCGATTATTAGAGATTCTTGCAGATTCAGACCATCATCGCCAGGTAATAAATTATAATTAATTTTCACTTGTACTAAAAAAAAAACTGGGAACAATTTTAAAAGTTATAAAGGAAAAATCGAATGCAATTTCAATAATTTGAAGATTGCATGCATATTGGGCTATGTGGAACAGATTTTGATAATTTGTATTTAGATAATATTGTTAAAAAGATGACAAAAAAGGGATTTCGTTTAAAAAATAAATTAGTGGACGGCGAAAAAAAATCCTCAATTTTTTAATATTTTTTCTTTGAGTTTTGCCTGTAAAGGTGATGATTATTTAAATGATTTTTAAGTCAATTTTCGAGTTGAGATTAATGATCGAAGTTTTGCAATGAAAAGGAAAGCCAGGAGAAGAACCTACGTACCCACAATTATGCGACGTTTTTCGCCGTTGGTTATGCGGCTCATCAGGCATATCTGGCTATGTGGCCTTACAAAGGTCGTATTTTGATAACTTTTATTTATTTCGCTGGATTCGACGTTTGTCTTCATTCTAGAAACAGCCCTTTCCAAAGCAGATTTTTGTTGTAGAGATGGAAAATTAATACACACACCTACAATTGATTCCATGGTACACACATGCTTTTTGCGCAACCTTCTTAAGTCTTTTGATGCCTCAGAACGCCAAGACGTCGGGAAACCTTGGTTCAAAACCCTAACCGTGCTCAGCTGAAATAACTCTTATTTTGTTTGAATTTTGCCTGTGAGATGAACATTTGAATGATTTTTAAGTGAGTCGATCATTAGGCTCAACTAAAGGAGAAACAAATCCTTCAGTTGATCAATGTTGTTTAAGCGGTCCATCAGGCTATAAGGATTTATTCAGAGAAAAGACTGACGTAAAAAAATTAAAACTAAGAAAATAACAAAAATAAATACTTTTTGCGTTGATTTCAATAATAAATTTAATTAATTTTTATTCTCCTGAAATTTGTTCGTGGCATAATTAAAAAATTATATAATTAGAATACAAATTATGTAATTTTTCACACAAAAGTCAGGGTCCATTTGACCCGCTAAATATTGACCGATCTTTATCAAAACAGGCATGCTTATTCTTTAGCCCGATCACCTTCTCCATGCCATGGAGTGTTTGGGCCATAATTGCAGCATTTGGGCCATAATTGCAGCGTCTGGAATAACCAGAAAAAACGACAAAAATTAAGTATTTGGTCCATTTCAATCAATAGGGGCCTTAATTGGGCAAATCCACCCATCCTACATGCAAAATTTAGTGAAGATTGGTCCATAACTGAAGATTGGTCCTGTATCGTGTTTACAAATTATAATGGACACACGGACGGACACACATGTCTAGATAGACTCATCTAGTCGAGATATGACGATCGGAAACACATGTTTAGATAGACTCATCTATTCGAGATATGACGATCGGTATACTTAAAGGTGGATCTAGGACCAATATTTCGCGGTACAAACTTTTGGGGCTGCACAAAGTTATAATACCCTGGCAACTTACTTTTGTAGGGTATAACGAGTCGAAGCCCTTATTAAGTCCTCACTAATTTTTATTTTGTAAATTTTTGCCAATAATTTATTAAACAACAATTTAATATAAAAACATTCGAAGCTGTTCTTCGAAAAAAAAAAACATTTGCTTTGAATAGCTTGTCTATTAATTTTAGTTTACATGTGTTTTCTTTCAGAACATTAAAAGTTTAATCGAGACTACAAAATTTGTTACTTTTACTATTCTTTATAAATTTGGGGGGAAAATATTCTCATGTTAGTTATTTTTTTTTTAAATTTTTAAGAAAAATTATAAAAAAATAATTTTTTAAAAACGTTTCCATTGATTTGTCGGACACTGTATATAATAATATGCTTTGATATTAACAATTTACTATTTTATTAATATCAATTTCTTACTTTACTTTTTATTTTCCTTTAATTTAAAAATAGTCCGTCTACGGGAATACTTCACTTCATAGATTTAATCTCCCTTCAAACGATATGATAAAATTCCCACATAAATGGCAACCATATTTCCCCGTCTTGTTTTATTTTGTATACAATGAGAGAGCTTGTGAGATCATGCTCAATAACTTGCATACACTGTTATTTGGTGTTTTTCGTGTTTTGTTTTTACACAACGTGAGAGAGAGAGTGAGCAACCAAAACATAAACTGTGTAAGTATGGGACAGAGAGAGATATGGAGGATTGCATTAACCAAAAAAAAAAAAAATGTACACAATACCCATAAAGCAGCAATAAAAAAAAAACAGCAATAACAGCAACAATATCAACAACAACAATAAAAGAAACAGAAAACATTTCGTAAGTTTTGTCATGTTTTGTTGTTGTTGTTGCTGGTTTTGTGAAACTTTGAAGGCAATGATGATGAAGAAGAAGTAGAAAAAAAGTAGTGGTAATATTTATCGCACAAGTTATGTTGATGTTGCTTCTCTATGAAAAAAAGAAGAGTGAGTAGACAAGCAACATAAAAGAAACTATTGTATGTTTTGAAAAAAATACAACAAAATATTATTATACGCAGTTGAAGAAATATAAAATTTAAATTTTTTTCGAAAAAGAAGAAACTTTAAGTGAAGGTCGTAGTTATGGGTTTTGTTGTTGTTGGGTTGTTTTTTGTTGTATGTATATTGTGTGTGTGTGTGCAAACAGACGAAGAAGACTGAAAAGTGATCACTTGAATGTTGAGTTTGTAAGTTTCTGTTGTATGGATGTATGTATGTTGGTGTTCGTGTGTGCGTTTTTCTTATTGCGGATACTTTTTTTATTTATTATTATTGTTGTTGTTGCTGTTTGCTTGTAAAGTTTTTTGTTGTTGTTGTTTTGTTTAATATGCCACTACACAATTTCATGTAAAATATCTTTTAGTTGTTTTTGTTTGGATTTCTTATTAAGTTTTGTGTATTCCTTTGCTCTCTCTCTCTTTCACATATGTATGCTCTTTTTTTGTATAGATTTTCATGTTTTTTTATTTTTGTTTTTCTTATTATTGTTGTTTTATGCATAGCCATTACTTCCAGCCAGTCAGCCAGCCAAATATCTATCCAGCTGGTATGTTAGGCCTGCCTGTTTGTTTGTGTGCGTACGTGTGTGTGTGTGCTTTGTATTATGGGGCCAAGCAAGCAATGAAGCAAACATTCATGCATGCATGCATGCCTAACGCAAGAGATGTAATAGTAAGACAATGCCGTCGACGCTGGCTGACGTTTGGCGTTGCTGTGTTGTTGTGCATGGCAGTTAGTATGTAGTAGTTGTGATCGTTTATACACGACCTACATAAAAGAAAATTATTCACTTTTTTTTTTGAAAACACTACAGCAACAACAACACTTACAACAATAAAACACAGTACTTACCTCTTTCATTTACAATGGTTTTGCTGTTGTTGTCCAATTCCAAATAAAATAAGAAAAATATCAAAAAAAAGAAACACGTAGTAGTTGTCAAGTTTTTGTAAAGGGGGAATGATCACGATGAAGTTTTGTGAGAGGGAGATGGGTTAACAATTGTCCAAAGGGGTTTTTTAAAAAAATGCGTAGATGTTTTTTTGGGATATTAAAATTTTTTGTTTGTAACTTTTTTTTAATATTTTTTTTGTTAATTTTTTGTAAAAAATATTTTTTTAAAATTATTTTTTTGTAATTTGTTGTTGTTTTTGTTATTCCTTTTTGTCTTGGTTTTTTATGTGTGGCACACTTTTTGTTTGTTTTTTTTTTAATATTAATTTTTTTTGTTATTGCATTTTGTTTTTCTTTCCTTCTTTCACTTTTTCTTATTAAATGCTCGTTGTTGTTGCTGATCTCGAATCATTTTAATCATTAACTTCATTATGAATATTAACATTACAACAACAACAAATAACCACACATTCACTTTTTTCTTGTTGTTGTTTTTTCTCTCTTTTTTGCAATTGCAGTTTTCAAATCCTTCTCTTTTTTATTATTAATTATTTTAATTAAGTTCAATTATTTTAGAACGTTTTTTTCTTTAATTTTCTTCTTCTTCTTGAGCGCACTTTTTTGTAATTTTTTATTTTTTTGCTTCTTCTTCTTATTTCCAATTATTGTGAAACAACATGGGGGAGCTGTTTGCTATTTGCTTGGCTATCTTTTTTTATATTTTTTTAGCTTAGTAGTGTTTTTCCTTGTTGTTGTTGATTGTCTCACACTGCACTATGAGCCGCGCGCGTTGTAAATTCCATACGCCATACACCAGCCAGCCAGTCAGCTCTTTTTTCCGATTACTATTACCAGCGACGACAACGGACAATGTCTTTTTGTTTTTTTTTCTGGTTTGCTTTTTCTTCTGCTGAAAACTTAAAATCCAATTCATGTAGTCCAAATCATAGTCTCCACGATCATCAGCAGTAGTTGTAGAAGAAGAAGAAGACGAACGACAACGACGGAGAAGAAATAAGACTTTCCAACACCCAACAGGTTTTCCGCGAGACTGCTTGGTTAAATATCACTTTTCTTACTGTGCCGAAACTTTTAAGTAAACATATTTTGTGGTCTAAAACACCACGACCAGCAGAAGCAGCAGCAGAGGCAACTGCAGCGGAGACAGCAGTAGTAAAAACTTCATGCTTAGCTTTGTTTGGTCTCACACATTTTTGTTGTTGTTGTTGCTGCTGGTGATCAACACCATCTCTTTTTGTTTTGTGGAGTGTGCCGTTGTTGCTGATATTTCAATGCAATTGTTGTACTAGATACGTTTTATATTTTCTCCGTTCTTTTCCAAAATAATCCACTCTCAACAACACTCACTCCGTTAACATGCTGTACTCTGCCGTGCTTTGCTCCCCGTATGAATTGTGTGCAGAGAATTTTGATTCGTTTTGTTTTGTGGCCATCATCATCATCGGCGGCAGAGACACAGTTACAACTTTCGTGTGAATGGCTGGCTGGCTATTGAGTAATAATGCATGGGGAGCTCTACTCTCTTGCAAAAGCTCCAAAACAAAGGAAAACACACACAAAGAGAAAGATCCACAATACACAACAAAACGACACATTAATGCAGGCTCGGGCAAATTTGCGTTGCGTTGTCGGTGTGTGCGTGTGTGTGTCAATGGGTTTTCACAGTTATTTCATTTCAATGTGCCTGAGAGTATGCTGTTATTTACTTTCGCGAGAGAGCACGCGTGCAGGGTTTTGCCAGATGTGGCATTAATGAATGATGGCTAACTGGTTGGTTGCGCATACTCTCCCAGCTAAAAATTTACATGAAAGCTTTCGCCTCTCATTCTCATACGGCCATATGTGAATCACATAAGAAATGACATCTCATCTCACACTCTCTCCCCATCTCTTCAAAAAGAAGAGTTGCAATACAAGGAAATACCAAACAAAGCCAAACAAAAAAGAGAGAACACAGTGTTTCCCATTTGAAATTGTACAATAATAACAAAAAGAAAAAAAAAACTAAAACTACGATTTTGTAATCACAGCTTGTTGGCTACAACAACAAAAAATAACCATAAAAAAGACTTTCACATACAACAATAAAAAAAAAATAAATAAAAAATCATACCCCTTCCACCTCTACCATAACATTAGCCCCCCACCAAAAACAAAACTCATGGCTCCATTGCTTTGGCATTTCCAATGCTTTTGTGCTTTAAGAAGTTTTGATTTAGCTTGAAAACATTTTCAAGGACATTCATTCACGAGCGTAAAAGCCACAATATATGACGTTTATAAGCACGAGTCACAGAAAGAGAGGGAGATAGCCAGGCTTAGCTTCTTGCCAACCAACTATTAGTGTAGGAAAAAAACCTCAAACTCTATACATTTCCCTAAACAAATAAAAATAATTTAGAGATATTTCGAGAAAAAAAAATAAAGATTCATATTTCTATGTTATTGAAAAAAAAAAACAAAAGCATGTTTATTCATGGAATTTTTAATTTCTTTTTTTTTCATTGATAGATGATGATCTATAAAAAATAACTTGTATATGACTTCCTATAATTTTTTTGGCAGCTGTCATTTCGACTTTTTTTGTAATCAGGTCATGGCTCATTATTTTTTTTTTTTTTGGCCTGATTATAAGATCCATTTTCCATTTGACGATTTTTCACTCTCAAAGTAGGAAATGCCGATTTTACGATTTTAGCCTTAAATTTTTTCCTTTTTTTTTATTTCAACAAAATTTCAATAACAGAATAAAAATTGAATATAAAAAATGCTACATACGTTGGGCGCCAAAAAAGTGAATCTGATACTTTTTCATCGAACCCATTTATTTTGTTTTTGTTATTCAGCCTATAAGATCCTTTGGTAATTAGGAAGTTTATAGAGTTCCGTATATGTGGTGAGGTCTATAGAGGTCCGTATAGTTGTCAAAAAGGTCTATTCAGGAATATGTTGGTCGTGAGAAGTTCTATAGAGGTCCGTATAGGTGGTCTAGAGCTCTACAGAGGTCTGTATAGGTGGTGGGGAGCTATATATATATATATATGTCCGTATATGTGATGAGGAGGTCTATAGAGGTCCGTATATGTGGTGAGGAGTTCTTTAGAGGTCTTATAGGTGGTGAGGAGCTCTATGGAGACATTTGTAGGTGGTGAGAACTTCTATGGAGGTCCGTATAGTTGGTCTGGAGCTCTATAAAGGTCGGTAAAGGGGGTGAGGATTTTGACGATTTTTTACTCTAAAAATTGGAAATGTCGATTTTAGCCGCAGAATTGACGATATTTCAACAATTCAATTCAATATTAAATAGAAAAAAATTATGGGCGCCAAAAAAAAATGAATCTGCTACCTTTTCATCGAACCCGTCTTATTATCTAAGATCCTGCAAGAATCGCTGAGTCATTTTTGTAGCATTTGTTACGAGACGTCTAATGTAGATCCACTGTGACTCTAAAACAACTAAACCTGGATGACTCAGCTCCAGGGCTGCAATTTTTGCCTATTTATCGGCATTTCGATGATTTTTCACTTCCGATTTTAGCCTCAGAATTGACGATATTTCAACAATTCAATTCAATAACTGAATAAATATTGAATAGAATAAAATGCACACATAGGTTGGGCGCCAAAAAAATGAATCTGCTATTTTTTTTCGAAACCGTCGTTTATTTTATTTGTCTAATTCAGCCTATAAGATGCTGCAAGAATCGATGAGTTTTTTTTGTAGCATTTGTTACGAGACGCCTAATGTAGATTCACTCACTTCAGGTCAGTTCGAATCCTGACAGCATCAGTGGTAGAAAAGACCTAATTAAATAGATATATAACATAGAAAAAAGCTACATACGTTGGGCGCCAAAAAAAATCTAGTACACTTTCTTCGAAACGTTGGGGCCAAAAAAGATTCTACCGTTTATTTTATTTTCCTCGAAAATCGTTTATTTATATTATTTTTGTAGCATTTGTTATAAAACCTACTAAACCAGGTTCAGAATACAATAAAAAAACTATATACGTTGGGTGCCAAAAAAAGAATCTACTAAATTAGGCTGTCTCAGTCTAAGATCGGTTGGAATACCAGCACTATTAAATAAATATGGAAATTCAATAAAAAGCTATATATGTGGTGAGGAGGGATATTGAAAAGGTCTATGAAGGTATTTCTTCCAGTCTATAGGATCAGTTCGAATACCAGCATTTGTTACGTTACACCTGGTTCCACCACAACAAAACCGCGGTGACTCAGCTCAGGTCGGTTCGAATCCTGACACCATCAGCATAATTAAGTTATATACGCTACATACGTTGGGCGCCATAAAAAAAGATTCTGCTAAATTTTCTTCGTTCGATCCGTTCGAATGCCAGCAAGAAACTATGCTTATATTATTTTTGTAGCAGGCTGACTCAGCTCAGGTTCGAATCCAGATACCATTAAATAACTATAGAATACAATAAAAAGCTATATACGTTGGGCGCCAAAAAAATAATCTACTACTATTTCTTCAATTCTTTAGGATCCGGTCCGTATATGTACTGAGGAGATCTATAGAGGTCTGTATAAGTGTTGAAAAGGTCTATGGAGGTATTGTGGTATTTGTGGGTGGTGAGGAGCTCTATAGTGCTCCGTATAGGTGTTGAAAATTTCTATTGAGGCATTTGTAGGTGGTGAAAAGTTTTGTAGAGGTCCGTATAGGTGGTGAGGAGATCCATAGAGGTCCGTATAGGTGCTGAAGAGCTCTATAGAGGACTGTATAGGTGGTGAGGAGATCCAAAAAGGTCCGTATAGATGGTGAGGAGCCTATAGAGGTCCGTATAGGTGTTGAAAATGTCTATGGAGGCATTTGTAGGTGATGAAAAGTTCTGTAGAGGTCCGTATAGGTGGTCTAGAGGTCTATGGTGGCTTTGCAGGTGGTGAGAAGTTTTATAGAGGTCCGTATTGGTGCATGCATTTATCTCATTTCGTTAACCTAGAATTTAGATTAAAACATTTGATTATAAATAATCGAAAAAAAATAAAAGAAAAACGGCCCAGAAATGTTTCTAATGCCTTAAAGCGAACTACGTTGGGCGCCAACAAATATGTACTGATGGCGTTATATTTTTATATCAGCCTAATAGACCCCACGAGCATCCTTCATGACCATAATTTGAAAATTAGTACGAACGAACGCGATAAAGTGGCTCAAGAGATCGCATCAGGATTATTTAAAAATATTCTTTTTTTTGGAGACTATCAACAGGCGTGGATTTTTAAAAAAAAGATTTTTTTTTAAATACTCGCTTAGAATAAAAATATTGAATATTGCGGGTCCTTCAAAATATTTTATTAATAAAAATACAAAGTTTTTTCTTTAAATTTTTATTTTTCATATTTCTTTCTATTATCATCCATTATAATATTCTTCATAGGCCTTCAATTGACGTTTTGACAAATTATAGGGATAATTTAGACTTGTGGGTACAAATATATCACCTTGGATATGGCTGAAAAAAAAAAATATGAACATAAATTCAGAACATTTTTGAAAAATATACATATATCTCCTGATTTACATTGAAGTAACTGAAAATTACCTAGTGTAAATCTGGTCTATATATCCACTTACCCTCCAATGTCACCATTATAGCCAATTTTAAAACCTTCCGGCAAATTCAATACCGGATTTCCAGCCAAACACCAGGGTGGCAGCCGGCTTGAGGCATAAAATGGATAATCAAAGGCATTTATGTAGATTTGTACACTCAGGCCATGGCTGCTGAAATAGGGTTGACTTAAAATCGCCGGTTGGGTATAGCCACAGTGACCCAACAGTATATTCTGATGACAGCTACGAAATTGTGTACCCTTATCCAGGCTGGCATAATAACAGGCAACATTTTCCGCCGCTTCACTGTGTGTGGCATAGGAAAGGAAATCAAAACCCGGCCCAGCAATGTCGCACACTAAGAGAGTAGGAGAAGAAATTTGATAGGTTTACACATGGCTAATTGATAAGTTTGTTGTGATTTATTTTGACATATTTACAAGAGATTTAATCTTTGAAAGATAGTCCATTTAGCGCAGCTGATTATTCGATTAACTGTCAAAGTGCATAGTTGCCAACCATCTGTCAAATTTTACTAGATACAATTTGACAGATGTTCGTCTGAATCAATAGCCTTATTGACAAACTATCTTTAAACTGACAATCTAAATGACGTGTTTTATTTAAAATATGTATGTTTCATGTAAATGATGCCAAATAAATCACATAAAATACTGTGACCTCTAAACTTACTATCAATTTGCTTGAATGTATAATCATTGTAGTGGATCAACATCCTTCCTATTTTCGATGCCAGCTGACCGCCATAACTAAAACCAAACATATAACCATTTGAGGGATTCACACCTCGGCGAATTAGTTCTAATATCTCATCATATAATATTTGACTTATAATATCGAATTTTTGCACCAAATCCAAATAGGGTTTCTTGGACCAACTGCTGTAGTCAACACAAATTATACAGCCACCGCGATAAAATGTTAAACCTAAAAAAGTAGCAAAAAATTATGATTTTGAATTGCAAAAGAAATCATTGACGTGTAAATAGGATATAAGGAATTTCGAGTGTAGATAAAATGGAGAAAAAAGTTGAGAAAATTTGTAATTGTGAATGGAAAAAATTCGTAACTGTTGGGAAATCTATATTCGTAACTGTAGGAAGGTATATACGTTGGGCGCCAAAAAAAAAATAATCTACTACTATTTCTTTAAGTCTTTAGGATCAGGTCCGTATATGTGGTGAGGAGCTCCATAGGAGGTCTGTATAGGTGTAGAAAAGGATATGGAGGCATTTGTAGGTGGTGATAAATTCTATAGAGGTCTGTATAGGTTGTGAGGAGCTCTATAGAGGTCCGTATATGTGGTGAGAAGGTCTATAGAGGTTCGTATAGGCCTTGAAAAGGCCTATGGAGGTATTTGTAGGTTTTGAGAAATTCTATAGAGGTCCGTATAGGTGGTGAGGTGCTTTGTAGAGGTCGGTATATCTATTAATTAGCTCTAAAGAGGTCCGTATAGGTGGTGAGGAGATCCACAGAGGTCCGTATAGGTGGTGAGGAGCTCTATAGGTGAGGTGGTCTGGAGCTCTATAGAGGTCCGTATAGGTGGTGAGGAGCTCTATAGAGGTCCGTATAGGTGGTGAGGAGCTCTATAGAGGTCCGTATAGGTGGTGAGGAGCTCTATAGAGGTCCGTATAGGTGGTGAGGAGCTCTATAGAGGTCTGTATAGGTGGTGAGGAGATCCATAGCGGTCCGTATAGATGGTGAGGAGCTCTATAAAGGTCGTATAGGTGGTGAGGAGCTCTATAGAGGTCCGTATAGGTGGTGAGGTGCGCTGTAGAGGTCGGTATAGCTAGTAAGGAGCTCTAAAGAGGTTCGTATAGGTGATGAGGAGCTCCATAGAGGTCCGTATAGGTGGTGTGAAGCTCTATAGAGGTCTGTATAGGTTGTGAGGAGATCCATAGAGATCCGTATAGATGGTGTGGAGCTCTATAGAGCTCTGTATAGGTGTTAAAATGTCTATGGAGGCATTTATACATAGTTGGCGAGAAGTTCTATAGAGGTCCGTATAGGTGGTCTGGAGCTTTATGGATGCATTTGTAGGTGGTGAGGAGTTCTGTAGAGGTCCGTATAGGTGCTCTGGAGGTAGTATAGATACGTATAGGTGGGAAGATGCTTTATGGAGGTCCGTATAGGTGGCGACAGGTTCTATAAAAGTCTGCATAGGTGGTGGGGAGGTCTATATAGGTTCATATATTTGTGGAGGAGCTCTATAGGAGTCCGTATAGTTATTGAAAAGATCTATAGATGACATTTATTGTAGGTGTTAATGTTACTTATAGAGATTTATATAGGTTGCCAGGAGCTCTATGTATGTTCAGATGAACTGAAGGGAATTAAGAAATGTTCGATGTTCGATGAGAAATGTTCGATCTTTGAATTTACTACTCACGTTCCCTTAGCTTGCCAACCCAATCGGTACTGCAACTCTCTGTCCAGCCATGATATATAAATGCAGTTTTTTCCTTGCCCCCGCATTTCTGGGCCACATATGTCATATCTTCTTGGGACTCCTCATCGCCTGGTGATAATTTGGCTAATAAATGTCCATTTCTAAACAAAAAAATTAAAAAAAAAATTATGAATCATAAAAAAGCCCAAGAATTAAACTGAATCCATGTTTTAAGATCGGACTTATCGGTCCACTCCTTCATCTTGAGTAAAGTGATTGACTGATTGACGATTCAACGATTCATCAACGCCCAGACGAAACGGCTTGAGCTAGAATCTTGAAATTTTGGGTGAGGGTCACTGTTGGTCCAAAGGTGACAGAAAAGGCTGGGTTTTTGGAAATTCGTACTAGAACGACACGAAAAGTACTATGAGGTTTTAAAAACGTGTACTCATGGAAATTCGAACTATAACTAACCGAACAGTACGAAACGGTACTAAATTTGGTACAATTCCGTAGCATGTGAACGGATAGCGCTAAAAACTTGGAAACATTTGAAATGTGAATTAAGGTTGAAAAGTGGGGCCGATACGAGGTGATGGTTTTGAAAACGTGTACTCATGTATACGAGAAGTACAATAAATTGGTACTATATTTGGTACAATTTGAATTTTGGTTGTACAACGAGATATGAATTTGGCTGCGGATTTATGGTTAACAGGAGAATAAAAGACCTCATCTCCAGATTCACTCCAGTAGATGGGCGAATTGCTATAATCCGTATAAAAGCGAAGTTCTGCTGCATCAGTCCCATTTTGCGCCCATGCTCCGGCAGCAAAAAACATGGTAGTTAGCAGCACCAGATTCAAGCATCTCGATATACACAAGGCCACTTGGATTTCTCCCGATCGAACAACGAGAAATCAAAACGATCATGTTGTGATAGACGGAAGGCATTCATCCAGTGTATTAGACGTTCGATCGATCCGAGGAGCAAATATCGATTCGGACCATTACCTTGTGGAAAAGACCAACGAAAAATATATCGACAATTTCCAACTATTCGTCGACTATAAAGCCGCATTCGACAGCCCTATCCGTTCAGAGGTATTTAAAGCCATGCCTACGTTCGGCATTCCTGCAAAATTAATACGGCTATGCAGGATAACTTTAACAGGCACAAGATCAGCAGTTAAAGTCGGAAAGGACCTCTCGGAGCCCTTTAATACCGAACGAGGATTCAGACAATGTGACAGTTTGTCGTGTGATCTTTTTAAAATCCTGCAGGAAAAGGTCATACGAGAGGCAAAAGTGAACAGAAATGACACTCTGTACACCAAACAACACATGTTACTCGCCTACGCCGATGACATCGATATAATGGGTGGAACATTGTGTGCGGTAACAGCCACCTTTGAACAAATTGAGAAGGTGTCTGCCAAAGTGGGTCTGGCAGTAAACGGCGAGAAGACCAAGCTGATGGTATCAACGCGCAAGACGTCCAGTAGACTCGGACCAAGTGTGGAACTTGAGAACTACAGCTTTGAGGTAGTCAAAGATTTTATATACCTCGGTACCGCCATGAACAAAACGAATGACATCAGTTTTGAAATTCGGAGAAGGATTTTGATGGATGCTACTATGATCTAGGTAAGCAGTTTAGAAACAAGGCCACCTCCCGCCAGACCAAAGTCACACTCTACAAGACGCTGATACTACCCGTGCTTTTATAGTGATCTGAAGCATGGGTACTTGCGCAAGCAGATGAGCCAGCTCTTGGAGTGTTTGAGAGAAAAATTCTCCGAGAGATCTATGGGCTGATCTGCGTGGACGGTGAATATGGCTGTCAAATGAACCATGAGTTGTACCACCTATTCTCGGACATCGACATTGTAAGACGTATTGAGCTGCTGCAACTACGTAGGGTAGGTCATGTTGTGAGAATGGATGAAGATGCACCAGCTTAGAAGGCATATAAAAGCGAACTAGCTGATGGTATACGCAGAAGGGGAAGGCCACGAATAAGACGGAAAGACCAAGTGGAAGGCAACATAGCCGAATATGGTCTTTCAAATTGGAAAACATAGCCGAATATGGTATTTCAAAAAAAAGGACCGAAGCGCTTGAAAATCTTTTTTAAGCTCGGCTTAAGTAAGGGAAGGTGTGGGAGGAGATAAGAAAAAACTTCTTGAAGCCTTGGAAGATGATTTGATTACTATAGACAAAACCAATTTTCCCTACTGAAAATTATTAATATACGTCCAATTTTTCGGATAGCCCTCATATAAGGGTACCCCCGATTTTCGGTATTTTTGGATTCTTCGGCGCGTTTTATAACTGAATTTGCTGAAATTTTGTACATTGGGTTCTTATTGGGTACAAAATTACTCCACTAAAAATTACAAATATAGGTCCACTTTTTCTGGTAGTCCCCATATAACGGTACCCCCAAATTTTTGGTATTTTGGGAGTTTTGGCTGTAATTTAGTACTTCGAGTTCTTATTGGGTAACAAATCTCTCCACTAAAAATTATAAATATAGGTCCATTTTTTGGGGTATCCCACATATTAGGGTACCCCCAATTTTCAGTATTTTGGGGTTCTTGAACGCGTTTTTCAACCAAATTCTTTGTGATTTGGTTTTTTTTTTTGTAGTCGTATATGGTAACAACCTCCCTCCCAAAAATTATTAATATTCGCCCCCTTTTAGGGGTAGTCCCCATATAACACCCTTTTATATATATTAAAATGGTTATCTGATTTGTTCCATGTGTTGGGGTTGTCCAAATATACCTGTATTCCACCATACTATGGGTGATACTCTTTACTCGAAATTCTCAGTTTTTATCCTACAACGTATGGAGTTCTAAGACGATTTAGCCATATGTTGTAATCATTCCGCCATCTAAGGATATCGTGATAAACAACAACGCGAACCTGAGGATGATGAAATATATGGGCCAGCATTTAGGCATCTCTCCCATACAATGATACCTCTCGAAGGAAAGAATTGAGATACGAAATTAAAATATTGGGTTCGAAATTGAGACATTTCGGTCATTAGTTAGGCATAGTCCCTCATATAATGATAACTCCAAATATTCGCTAATTCCTAGCAATGTAATCAATTTTGGTCCCCCTTTAAGGCATAGTCCCATATAGGTCAGTAGTTTGAGGATTTTATATACACATGATTCACTCTACCATGCGTAATCAATATCGGTCCACGTTTTGGGGTTTTCAGATTTTATGAAGAATACCGATTCAAAAATCATTACATAATTGTTTACATTAATCGGTTTGTAGAACTGTCGGTATAGGTCCACTTTTTTGCATGTTCCATATATTTTCATTTTAAGTACCTTTCAGTATACCTATGATGGAGGGTATCCAAAGTTCGACCAGGCCGAACTTGACGCTTTCTTCACTTGTTAAATTTCTATTTAGGGTTACAATCAATATATTAAATATTAAATTTGAACTCGATATCAAATCGTTTTAATTTTGTAATCATTTGAAAATTTATAATTTTTGAGGTTATGTTCGTATGTTGTTAAAATTTGGTATAATAATAATATTAATAATTTAATATTAATTAATTATTATAATAATTAATTTAATTTATAATAATTTAGAAATTTCAGTTTAATTGTTTGATTTGTGTTACATTTGTTGAATTAAAAAATTTTAATCAGTCAGCTGATTCGGCTTTTTTTCTAGAATATTTAAATTTCTGTTTGAGATTACAATCGATATATTTTATATTAAATTTGAATTCGATATCTGAAAATTTTAATTATGTAATTACATATTTCATAAGAAATAGTTGATTTGGTTATATTTAAAATTTTATGTTTGAGGTTATGTTCAGATGTTGTTAAAATTTGGTATAATAATAATAATTTAATATCAATTAATAATTATAATAATTAATAATTTAATTTAGGAATTTCAGTTTATTTGTTAGATTTGTGTAACATTACAGAATTATAAAATTTCAGTCAGTCAGCTGATTTGGCTATTTTTCTAGAATTTTTAAATTTCTACTTGAGGTTACTATCGATATATTTTACATTAAATTTGAATTCGATATCTGAAAATTTTAATTATGTAATTACATATTTCATAAGAAATAGTTGATTTGGTTACTTTTGAAATTTTATCATTTTTGAGGTTATGTTCATATGTCATTAAAATTTGTTAATATTTAAAAACCTCTAATTTTGGAGGTTATATTCATATGCTATTAAAAATTAGTATTTTCAGATAATAATATAAATTTCAGTTTATTTGTATGAAATTTCTGATTTGGTTACTTTTGAAATTTTATCATTTTTGAGGTTATGTTCATATGTGGTTAAAATTTGGTAAATAATTTAATATTAATAATTATAATAATTAATTTAATTTAGAAATTTAAGTTTATCTGTTTGATTTGTGTAACATTTCTGAATTAAAAAATTTTAATCAGTCAGCAGATTTGGCTATTTTTCTAGAATTTTTAAATTTCTACTTGAGGTTACTATCGATATATTTTACATTAAATTTGAATTCGATATCTGAAAATTTTAATTATGTAATTACATATTTCATAAGAAATAGTTGATTTGGTTACTTTTGAAATTTTATCATTTTTGAGGTTATGTTCATATGTCATTAAAATTTGTTAATATTTAAAAACCTCTAATTTTGGAGGTTATATTCATATGCTATTAAAAATTAGTATTTTCAGATAATACTATATAAATTTCAGTTTATTTGTATGAAATTTCTGATTTGGTTACTTTTGAAATTTTATCATTTTTGAGGTTATGTTCATATGTGGTTAAAATTTGGTATAATAATTTAATATTAATAATTATAATAAATAATTTAATTTAGAAATTTAAGTTTATCTGTTTGATTTGTGTAACATTTCTGAATTAAAAAATTTTAATCAGTCAGCTGATTCGGCTATTTTTTGTAGAATTTTTAAATTTCTATTTGAGATTACAATCAATATATTTTTTTATTAAATTTGAATTCGATATCAAATCATTTTAATTTTGTAATTATATAGTTCGTAAGAAATAGTTGATTTGGTTACTTTTGAAATTTTATCATTTTTGAGGTTATGTTCATATGTCATTAAAATTTGTTATTATTTAAAAACCTCTAATTTTGGAGGTTATATTCATATGCTATTAAAAATTAGTATTTTCAGATAATAATATAAATTTCAGTTTATTTGTATGAAATTTCTGATTTGGTTACTTTTGAAATTTTATCATTTTAGAGGTTATGTTCATATGTCATTAAAATTTGTTAATATTTAAAAACCTCTAATTTTTGAGGTTATATTAATATGTTATTAAAAATTAGTATTTTTAGATAATAATATATATATATATATATATATTTCAGTTTATTTGTATGAAATTTCTAAATTAAATAATTTCAGTCAATCAGCTGATTTGTCTTATTTTCTAGAATTGTTTATTTATTTATTTTTTTAATAAAAAAATTTTGTTTTTTTTTTTTTTGTTTGTTTGTTTATACCCACTTGTAATATATAAATTGTATGGCCTTTTGTATCATCGATTTACTCTGTGAACGGCTCATGGCCAATGATAAATTTCCAACGGTGCTGGGTAAATGTAACCAACGTACCGAATATAAATTTATTTTATTACCAACATTATGGGCGGAATTGGAGCTTGCCGTATCATGATGATACTGATGATGTTGTTGATATGGATCATGCCGATCTGCTAATGTAATATTACGGAACTCCGATACACTGACATTAAAATACGAACATAAATAATAGACAAATAATACTATATGATAATTTTTAATAAACATATTTTTGTTTTTTAAAAATAAATTTTTTTAAAAATTCCGTTAACAAAACTCGTTCTATAGAAATTTTAGAATATACTGATGATGGTATTGGGTGAAAGTAGAAATGCTGGGGGTGAAAATTATGAAAAAAACAATCTCTTCCAAAAACCAAAAAATATTTGCAAAATTTTTCATAAACCAGAAACAAAAAACATAGCAAAGCAAATTTTATGAAAAGAGAGCAATAAAATTTGAAACATAAGGGTATGGGGGTTTTGGGTAGAGAGGGGAGCTTAAGACGCCATACATATTAACCTCGAGTCAAACGTGCAAAGTGTTAGTTTTTTTTGTTATTCGAAATAACCAAACAAAAGTCGTCACAGTCGACACACGGCATAGCAGTTATGGGTTGTTGTTGTCGTCGGTGATGGAAGATTGTCATTGAAGAAGAGTTAGAGCAACGCGTCAAAGCTGTTATTGTAAAATAAAAAAAAATACAACAACAAAAAGCATTCACACATACAAAACACTTTTGAAAGAAATAAAAAAAAGCTGGTGCGCAAGCGCAACACATTTCAAATGTTTGAATAGAGTGGTGAATGGTGGCTTGGAAGTGGGGGAGTGGGGGGTTGGGATTGGGGGCTAGAGTCATTTGACCCATGATATAGCACAATAGCTCTTCGTTGATAAGGTTGCTTACTCTGCCATGGCTTATGAGTAATCAAAAAAGAAAAAAAAACCCGTGCGAAGAAAAACACAAACCCCCAATAACAACAACAACAAAAAACTTAAAATAAGAAACTACAACAACCATCTCACAGATTGAAAACTATGCTGTATATAAATTGTGTGTCTGTCTGTCAGTTTTTTTATGCTAAAGTGAAGGTGGTCAAAACTTGTTTTTGTTTCATCATTGGTAGAAAAAAATAAAAAAAAAAAAAAAAAAAAAAAAAAAAAAAAAAAAAAAAAAAAAAAAAAAGAAAAAGCTTTTTTTTGGGAAGTAAAATTTAGCAACACTACACACAAGCAAGCGTACATACATACATATGGAACGCCAGCAACCAACATTATGTTGCTTGGCTTTGTATGTTTGTAATATATGCACTATGATATTCAGTGTGAGTTTTGTTTCATAGACGCAATCAAATTACAAACACACTCACATACCTTAAACATTTATTTATAAATTTAAATTTTTATTCCACAACAACAACAACATCTGTAATAAAGAAAAAAAAGAAGGTAGGCTTTTATGGCCACTACTAAGTAGTTTCATGATATTTGCCCTTCGACGGATTATTCGAAACCTGAATACATTTACAGTTTCAAATTTTTTACAACAACAAAACTTTCAAGACCTCTTTTTTTGTCTTATTTTTTGTTTCATTTTTTATTTCAATGCAATGAAAAGTCTTAAAATTAATAATATTAAAAATAATAATAATAAAAAAAATCTGTATGCATATTTTTTTTGTATGTTGTAATATGTCTCTCTCTATAACCATGGATGCCATGCCGGATCCATGCGACACAAATTATCATGATTTGTGGCCTGTTGCAGCAACAACGAAATTTTCTTCGATTCAATATTATCGAAATATGAAATGGTATTAAGGCGACTTAGGATCGCACTAACCGATTTATTAACCAAATGTATCATATTTTCATTGGCATTAGCATCGGCTGCCGGATCTTCCATAGTATCTATGGGTTTATTGTCACGCATTCGTTTCTTATGGAATGCTATGATTTCATCACGTAATATTGTACGCAAAATTGAACATAATTTATAATTCGGATGGACAAAACAACGAGCGGTGGCAATAATTGCCGCCGACAGGGGTCCTGAAATGCCAATATTTGTCAGAAATTCAGCAATATTGGGTGTTAAACGGAACGGTACCGGACGACTGTGATCCAATTCTTCTTTTTCATCATTAATATCGAATTTGAAATAGGAAACATTAATTAGGCCCGAATCTTGATGGATGTAGATCATATCGGTATTGAGGCGGGTTAAATGCAAAGCATATTCACAGATAAATGCCAAGGCCATTTGTAATGTCATCTGAAAAGAAAAACAAAGAAGAAAATTGGATTTATATTAGATTTACATTTTTAAAAAGGCATATCATTCAACATAAAATTTTTTTAATTTTTTTGAGGTTATGTTCGGATTATTTTTATAAAAACAGCATTTTTTAGTAACAATTTTAAATATGAAGAAATTTCGATTTAAATTAGAATGAAATATTGAAAAAGCCATATCATTCAACATAATAACATTTTTTGAGGTTATGTTCGAATTTGAAGTTATTTTAAAAAAAACAGCATTTTTTTAGTAATAATTTAAAATATGAGGAAAAAATTAAATGAGTTTAAAGTCGTTTTCCCATATTATTTTATTTAAAAAGGCATATCATTCAACATAGTAACATTTTTTATAATTTTTTTTTTTTGAGGTTATGTTCGAATTTGAGGTTAAATGTTTTTTTTTCATAAAGAACAGAAATTTTTTAAGTAATAATTTTAAATATGAGTAATAATTTAAAAATTCCTGTTCATGTTACCTCTATTATTTTAATATAAAAAAAATTCAATGCATTTTAAGGTTATGTTGAATTTGAGGTTATAATTTATTTTCTGTTATGGTTTTATAATCCCACTAGTTTTGTTAAATGTCTACTTTTTTCGTCAATTTGCAGCTGGATTAAATGTTTCGATAATTTTTAATTCTAATTTTTTACTTTTTATTATTATGGTTTATTGTTTTGAGGTTATGTCCGAATTTTAGTGTATTAATTTTCTTCAAATCAACTTCTTTCCCATAATTTTTGATAAGTCTGTATAGAATTCCATTATTCTACGCTCCAAAAACCCGAAATACGAAATAGCAACATCAGACGGAAATGCTTCCAAGACCAATCCAATTGCAAAAAATTAAGCAGGGTCCTGTATTTGAGGTTAAATTCATAACATTGACCTATAAATTTGTTGCCAGAATTTTATTTATCCTCTGTGAATCGGTAATGCAAAATTTTAGCAAATTTCCAGGGGATCTAAATGAGTCTAAGTCTTTTTAATAGCAGCAAAATCCTTCGAAATACCTAAAATTGGCCAGGAGCTTTATATTATATGTGGGTTATGACAAACCATGAACCAACATGAAACATTTTCTGTCAACAGGTCCTGAATCCTATGAGAACCCTATTTTTATTAGAAAATGTGTCAGGGGCATTAAAAAACCGCTGCGGTTTCCATATATGAGAGCTATGTCATAACCTCCTGATAGGAGGTCCTGAATCCTATGAGAACCCTATTTTTATTAGAAAATGTGTCAGAGGCATTAAAATACCGCTGCGGTTTCCATATGTGAGAGCTATGTCATAATATGGACCTATATTGAATATTTTCTATGAACAAGTTTTTATAGCTCAAAAAGCCGATTTTTTAAGTGTCAACCACTTAGGATTGAAAATCTGGTAAAGACCTTCCAAATACCTATAATGGGACGAGACCACTGTAAAAGAGCTATGTCGAAACATATACCAATATTGCAAATTTTCTATCAGTAGGTCATTTTTATTCTGAGAACATAGATTAAAAAAAATTGAGATCAGGTCAGAGAACCTTTAAATTGCCTATGTGTAGAAACTAAGCCTAAATATGGAACTACTATAAGTATTTTATCCTCTAAGAATCTGAAATTCCCTGTCGTTGGTTTATAAAGTCTCCTCTACCGCTATTTTCTATCGCTTGTCCATTAAAAGATTACCCCAATCGCTCTATAAAGACTCCCTCTGCCGATGAAAAGACTCCCTCTATCCCTTGCCTATGAAAAGACTCCACCTATCGTTCGTCTATAAAGACTCCCCCTATCGCTCGTCTATAAAAAGACTCGAACTATCGCTCGCCTAGAAAAATACTCCCTCTATCGCTCGTCTATAAAGACTCCCTCTATCGCTCGTCTATAAAAAGACTCCCTCTATCGCTAGTCTATAAAAAGATTCCCTCTATCGCTCGTCTATGAAAAGACTCCCTCTACTCCATCACTCGTCTATAAAAAGACTCCCTCTATCACTCGTCTATAAAGACTCTCTCTATCGCTCGTCTATGAAATGACTCCCTCTTTCACATGTCTTTAAAAAGACTCTCTCTATCGCTCGTCTATAAAAATACTCCCTTTATCACTCGTCTATAAAGACTCCCTCCATCGCTCGTCTATAAAAAAACTCCCTCTATCGCTCGTCTGTAAAAAGACTCCCTCTATCGCTCGTCTATAAAAAGACTCCCTCTATCGCTCGTCTATAAAGACTCCCTCTATCGCTCGTCTATAAAGACTCCCTCTATCGCTCGTCTATAAAGACTCCCTCTATCGCTCGCCTATAAAGACTCCTTCTTTGTCTCGTTTATAAAGACTCCCTCTATGGCTCGTCTATAAAAACTACCTTCAAATCGTCTGAAAAAAATCCCTCTATCGGTTGTCTCCCTCTATCGGTTGTCTCTCCGTCTATGGATCGTCTTTAAAAACCCCCCTTCAGCTTGTCTGTTAAGACTCTTTTACCTCGTCTATAAATACTCCCTAACGATCTTCTATAAAGACTATTTTTAAATCGTCTATAGCGAATCCATATCGCTTTCCTAAAAAATACTTTTTTTCCTCTTCATTCCCTGTCTTTAAAAGGTCTTAATCCCTCTCCTTCTTTTAAGAGCTCTCTACATTTCCTCTTAATTATAAAAGAATAGAAAAAATGATTTGACTCACCATTTTACGGAATTGCCAAAAATCAGTTGCCGATACAAATGTCTTGACGGCCCATTGTTTGAACAGCGTTTTGGGTACCATTTTGTTTTGAATTTCTTGGAAAATATCTCTCAAGATGGCATGGGTTATTTGAGCACCCTGCGATTGCACCTCGGAGAGACGTTCATAATATTTCATAATTGGCAAATCATGTTCAACATCCATTTTGGCACAGGTGCTTTTATAGATTTCATATAACGAAATGCTAGCTGGGTTATCTTCGGCCAAACGCATTTGCGGTGAAATGGGTACCACTCGGGGAACGGTAATATTCAAGAAACGTCGTGTGGTTTCTTTTTGTTTTTCCAAATAGTAATTGAGCATTCGTAGGAGTTGTAGAACTCTTTCTTCGCGGCGAGCATCACCCAATCCTGTATCGATGACAACCAAATATGGATAGATTTTACCATTTGTGCCGCGTATGTGCAGGCGTCTGGCTGCTGTGTTATTCTTTTGTACAATTTCAACACGTGGCATAAAGCGGGAGATGCGTATGTGATAATGCGAAGAGGAGGGTATGAGAAATTCTCCGGGTAATTCAACTTCAGCAGTTTTTTGACTGAAATTCGAAAGGAAACGGCATTTATCTTCGATAAGGAATGAGGTGGGTAACTTCTTGACTTTATTCTCCAAAGCCTTGATCCAGGTTTTGAGTTTTGTAATTAAATTGTGCAGCTTCATGGCATCCGGTTTGGAGAAATCAAAATCTCGTGTAAATTGTTCTTTCATCATTTGGAAGGCAGGATCTTGGAAGGTTACTTGAGCACGTCGGGCCAATGATTCTGAGGCGGCAGAATTTGAGGCTGACGAGGCGACAGAACCGGGAATGTTTTCGATGCCGATACCAAAAGTGGAACCTAATTTTTTGACAAAGTGTAAAGTGTGCGGTGTGATGGTGGCCTCATTCACTGTGCTGCGTGTCTCAAAAGCAATGGCGTAACATTTAATAAGACCTTGTCGCAGCTGGCGTAAAACTTCTTCGGTCCATGATTCTCTAAACCAAACCATTTGATCAACAATACCCTCCAGAGAGCTTAGAATGGTTGGGTGTATCTCACGTTGTACGTGCATCACCTTCGAACAACGCCACATTGGTGGAGTGGCTTTGATGGGATTAACGGAATTTGAACCAGATTGTCCAGAGGTGTTGGTGAATACTTGATTCATATTGTTTTCCAAATTGGGCTGAAAGGAGAGAGATAAAGTCGGAAAAATTATGACTCAAAAGTTTTAACCCGGATTTAAGATTTTCAAATAAGTAAAAAACTGATATTCACTTACATGATTATGAGGCCTACCAGAGGCCTGTTCAGCAGTCTTGTGCTTTTCACGTTGCTCGATTTTCAATGTTAGATATAGGGTACGTATGGGGAAATACACGGCCTGGGGATATAAGCGACCCACCTGACAAAAAAAAACAGAAAAAACATTTTAGTTATCCCTCCCTCTACCAATCCAGATCCATGTTTCCAACTCACATGACTCAGTAGATTCAATATAACATTACTCTCATATTGTACCAGACAACACAGCAGCTGTGGTATCCACGGCAACCAGTACGATGGTGGCACCCCGACAACATATTTCTCCAAAGTACCCATCAAGGTGTTATTGCTGTCATACGATAAGAACCACAAAACTTTAGCCAAATATTTCCTGGTTTTACTTTCACTCTGATGACGACAGGCATGCAGGTAGCATGTCAATGCACTAACACCCAAAGAGATTTGTTTATCGCGCAAGAATAAATGTTCCATAAAATCACCCCACATTGCCCAGGCTTTGGTCAGACCATCATGTAGCTGTACAGCAGCACTAAATGCCTTGGCCGCTTCATCGGTACGTCCAATTTTGGCCAAAAGTAAACCTTTCAGCGCATAAAATTCTGCATTCATTTCAGCTGTGAAATATTTTAGATTTGTCGATTCAATAACTTCGAGGGCTTCGTTTAGATCATTGCGTCCCGCCAAGGAGGCTGTTTGTATGTAGCATTTCACCTGTTGGCGTATTTTCTGAAAAGCGATAAAATAAAATTTTGTTTATTGGAAGAGGGTTGGGATACTATTTTCAATTTATAACAAAAAAATATTCTGAAAATCCTACGAGTTTTTTTTATCCTCTGAGAACTCGAAATTTGAAATTCTCCTCTATAATGTCTCTCTCTATCGCTCGTCTACAAAGACTCCCTCTATCGCTCGTCTATGAAAAAGACTCCCTCTTTCGCTCGTCTATGAAAAAGACTCCCTCTTTCGCTCGCCTATTAAAAGACTTCCTCTATCGTTCGCCTATGAAAATACTTCATCTATCGCTCGCCTATAAAAAGACTTCCTCTATCACTCGTCCAAAAAGACTCCCTCTATCGATCGTCCAAAGAGACTCCCTCTATACCTCGCCTTTAAAAGGACTCCCTCTATAACTCGTCTATAAAGACAACCTCTATCGCTTGCCTATGAAAAGACTCCCTCTATCCCTCACCTGTGAAAAGACCCCCAATCGCTCGCCTTTGAGAAGACTCCCTTTATCACTCGTCCAAAAAACTCCCTCTATCGCTCGTCTATATAAATATCGCTCGCCTATAAAGACTCCCTCTATCGCTCGTCTATAAAGACTCCCTTTATCGCTCGCCTTTGAAAATACTTCCTCTATCGCTCGCCTTTGAAAATACTTCCTCTATCGCTCCTCTATATAAAGACTCCCTCTATCGCTCGTCTATAAAAAGACTCCCTCTATACCTCGCCTATAAAAAGACTCCCTCTATAGCTCGTCTATAAAAAGACTCATTCTATCGCTCGTCTATAAAAAGAATCCCTCTACCCCTCGCCTATAAAAAGACTCCTTCTATACCTCGCCTATGAAAAGACTCCATTTATCGCTCGTCTATAAAAAGACTCCCTCCATCGCTCGTCTTTAAAAAGACTCCGTCTATCGCTCGCCTATTAAAATAATCTCTCTATCATTCGTCTGTAAAAAGACTCCCTCTATCTCTCGCCTATTAAAAGACTCCCTCTATGGCTTCCCTACCTCGCCTATAAAACAGACTTCGTCTATCGCTCGTGTATAAAAAGAAGATTTCCCCTATCGTGTATAAAAAGAATCTCTCTATCGCTCTTTATATTCGAACTTCCTCGTCCATCTTTATAAAGACTCCCTCTATTGCTCGCCTACAAAAGGACTCCCTCTATCGTTCGCCTATGAAAAGACTTCCTCTATCGCTCTCCCTATCCCTTTCCTGAAATTATTTGTCCTTCACTCACCTGGAAACAATCGACAATCGGCACCGAGGGTATTGTATAAATCCTCGACAGTGTCTCCTGGCAAACACCCGTCAAATTATGCTTCCTGGCAATTTTACCAAAATAAATGATGGCCTGTGCCGAGGCATGCACTCCCAACATGGTATTGCCCTGATCCGGTTGCTGTTCCAAATGTTGTGTTATAATTTGATAATGATGTTGACGCCATGTAAATATATCCGACCAATGTGATAGATCATCGGCAATGACCGGTAAACGATTTCTCCATGTCTTGACAATGGCCTTCATGTCATGCAGAGAGGTATTGCGGGATTGCAATAATCCCTGATGTATTTGACTGGCTTCGTGTAGTTCGATTATTTGCTGGGCGGCCTGTAGATATTGTAAGTGTATGTGTGATACAATGTGGGGTAAACGACGCCATTCGCGAATGCATAGGCCGGAAGCGATTTCCACATATTTTTCAACACTAGCCAATTGGCGATCTTCAGGATGTAGAATGGCCAAGAAGCCTTTATATAAATGAACCTTATAGCCATATTGTTTGGAATAGGCTTGTTCAATTTTCAGTAGAGCTTTTTTCATTAGATTCCAATCGGGCACCCGCCAGGCGCTTTCCATAATAAGTATTTCATGTTGTTCGCGATTAGTTTGGGCATAATCTAGCAGGATATCCCATTGATTTAATTCCTTGGCACAGCGGATCCAATGATTTTCCCATAGGGCAATTTCACTGTTCATGTGGGAATTACACTGGCCATTGGTGAGGTCCTCTTTAAATTTAGACATTACTAAGTCGTAGGCCCCTTGAGCTTCTTCGAAGAAACCCATTTGTTCATAGGCAATGGCTAAGTTGGTCTCAGCATATTGGGCATATTTCATCCAAAGCCCCGCCCATAAATCTTCTTCATGCATGGCGGAATACATGAGTGATAGCGAGTCATGGACCGTGGCTTGATTGCCATTGTAGTCATGTTGTTGCTGATCACAGTAGTCCATAAAATTGGTTTGATTACTCGGATTGGCTTTGGCGGCCATTTCTTCGAGCACCAAAGTCATGCGATGCCATAGATTGTGGGCCTTACCCAGGTATGTGCAGACATTGGGTGGTATATATATTTTAGGGTTGCAGTGTGTTAGACCCTCAACAAAAGTGTTGATGGCACTGGGTGAACAATCTTTTTGTATGATATTTGTGCCGGATGCCAAGAAGGGTATAACTTCTTTGATAATTGTTTGCTGTTGATCGGCATTGAAAATATTCCAGATTCTGGGGAAAATTGCCAACCATACAGATTCCGCTAAAGTGGTGTCCATGTGACATAATTGTGATGTGGCCACCAGCAATTGATCGGTGCGTATTTTACGATTGATTTCCAAAAATTCAATTTGACGATTTATTAGTTTGCAGATTTTCATTTTTCTTGCTGGTAATAACCTCTCAGTATCGGGTTGTTCATTTTGTGAGTTAATAAATTCCAAATTAACATCCACATCAAATTCTTCATCCTTATCGTCAACACTCTGTGGCATATCCATGCAATCGGATTGCGACGATGAGGTGTAGATGACAAATTGACTTTTCTCCTCATTATCGGCCATGTTGATAATCGAAGTGATACTTGGTATCTTGTGCATATCATTTGAATTTTGTATTGCGGTCATGGTATTGGCGGTCAGGACCAATAATTCAATACACTGCTTTATCCAATAATGTGTACCAATTGAATCCCAGGCCTGCGAACAAATGATATACAACAAACGATCATGCAGACGTCTACGCATTGAGGCATCGATAATTTCAAAGAACTTGGCACGTATTGTGGGATTTTGACTACGCAGGCCAGTTAAGAAGGCACCCTCCAATTTGGCACTCAATTCCGATTGTTTCAAATGTTCATCACGATAAATATAGTTTATCATTTCCAAAAATTGTATGTGCAGTTCACTTTCATCGGAAAACTTTTTCTCCACACATTGCATTAGCTTCACAAGCAATACCGATTTCTCCCTTATCGATGGTATTTGCACCACAATATTTTGATCCTTTACCCTTACCCAATCGTCAAGCATTTTAATGATACACTTAATGATCTTCGCATCCATACTCTTTTCAATAAGGCTGACAATTATGCTACCAATCAGCAGCTTCCTAACCTCCACACTCATGATGACAATACGATTTTTAATCATATCCAAGGATAATATCAACAGCTCCAAAGACAAATGATTACCCTCCACAGAGGGATTCATGGCCTGGGTATTATTTTGCATGGCAATGTGATCCTTGGTCAAACGATTCAGCACTCTTATAAATTGTACCATTAAACGATCGATATAATCGGGATTGTTAACACAACATGCCTTGAGGATCATTAGAGTGCCAAATAGCGATGAAGGATTTGGTTGTTGACTCTTCTCGTAGAAATTTAAATTGTCCGCAATCATTTTACTTATGGCCGTATACAGAATATCTAAATCTTCATTTTTATGTTGGGCATCGGGTGGAAAGATGGTCATAAGGCGAGTTATCAAACCATGCATTAGGCGTACAATTTTCGTATTTTGATGTATAATACAGGCTGAGAGGCCTTTTTGTATGGGCCTAATAATGGCCAGTAGCTGTTCGGGTTTCATAATCGTACTCAAAAAGGTTAAAAAGTCCAAGGCTGTACAAATGTTATTAATATTTGTGTGGGGAGATTCAATTGTGGTGAAAATCTTATCCATCCAATTTAATTTCAGCTCAAATGGTTGAGGCCAGACATCGGGACGCATGGCAGTTTTCAACAGGATTATACATCTGAAATAGATATAAAATAAAAAGATATAAAATCCAGCTTAAGACCCGGTCGCGTATGGTTTTGAAATTTTTACCCCTGACAGCTATAAGGGCCTGATTACTTAGCTGCCTTGTGACAGAACATTTGTTCCATAAACCGAGCTTAAAAAAAGAAGGGATTCTTCAAAGAGCAACCAATGACTATCACTAATCCTGCCATGAGGATCGATTTGTCAATGATTGCCACTTGAAGGTCTTCTTCGTCAGCAGCTACCTTGGTTGGTCTGTCATATGGCTTGCGCTGTCTCTGGCTACTACCTTCTCTGTCTAGGCTTTTTCTCCGCCGTTTGTTGTCCAGCGACAGCTGCATATGAGGTAGATTGGTCAGCCAGACACGAAGTCATCGTCTTCATGGGTGAAGGTTGCGGACCTTCTGAAAAGCAGATGCGCTTCACAGATTTGCTCTGTGGGGGCGGCATTTGCTCTCCCAGGAGACGATGGTTCCTTGCCGAACTTTCCTTCTTCCTATTCCGAGCACTGATGGATCCAAACAAAGCTTTAGCTTCACCTTTATCGCTAGGCGTAGAATGGGGCTTTGAGACAGAGCCCTCAACACGTTGATCACCCTTATGGGTGACATTTTGTTTGGGATGTTCTCAGTAGCCTTTTCCTTTGCCTTTTGACTAAGGTTAGGCTTCGAGCTAGGTTTCAGATCAGAAGTCGGCTTAACAGCTTTGTCAGAGACAGTGGGCTACACCGATTCCACTACTTTTATACGGATAAAAGAAGATTCTTTCGTCCTTACGAATCTCATCTTGCCCATCTGCAGTTCACTATGGAGAGCGTGCGGATAGATTCTTTCGAACTTCCTTACGAATCTCATCTTGCCCTTGATGAGGTGAAGCGCCCTCTCCGTCTCGCCCCACGAATTTGCGGAGATACGAAACAGCACGTTTGTAGTGTTTCGCATCAGCTACTTCTCGGGCCTTCCCAGCATTTGAGCCGCTGTCCGTTGCTGGGGTCTCGACAGATTCCCCATCGTCGGACATCATCGCCTCCGTCGCAGATTGCCTCTTAAGTTTATTGTCGGCAAGTGCTGACACAGCACCTGTTGTAGTCAGACTTGAAGTCGGTCGGTCAACAGGGTCCTTCCTTCGTTAATGCTACAACAATCCCCCTGTGTAGACTACTTGGCGGGGATCACCGTGGTGTCCAGATCATCAAATGTTAGGGTGAGATTCAGTAGCAGTTCCTCCAAAAGCATATCCACAAATTGCTCTTCCGGTATCAGTCTGTGTAACTGGTCGAAGATTTTGTTTACTTTGCTCCTCTAGACTATGGCGGATAGCATTTAGAGTCCCGTGTAGGTCGTCCCCTCCCAGAACTACAGTCCTGTCAGCCAGAGACTGATTTTCGTCAGTCCGGACCTGCTCGTTTGCCAAAAGTATTGCCGGTTCGTCAACGTTCGGATTTGAAATTGATGCACTTGTAACAGATGCCAAGGCAGGCATACACACCTAGAACCGCCGGATCACAATAGTTTTATCTCGACGGCATGTGGCTTGTGACCTCAATGTAAAGCTCTTGATGTCCTGCTAACAAAAAATATAACTATCCTTTCAGAGAAGTCTCTTTATTCTGTGGTATGGGCCTCTGAAGTTCGGTGCGTAAATTTTTTGGTTGCTTACCTCCTTGATAGATTATCACCCGAATTCAAAATACTCGGTTGATTATCATTGACTTGGCATGCCAGGCGTATAAGGAAATTCAAGACCGTGTCACAGTGGACCTTGCCAATTGAACGGCTGCTCTCATCCATTTTGGAGCTTATGGAGGCCTCAGAGGTGCCTAAAAGAAAAGTAGAATTGCTTTTAAAAAATAAAATATTTAATTTTGTGAGCCTCCTTACCTGCCCTGGCGACAACAGCAGCACTGCCATCTGTGTTCAATTTCTTGCGATGCGATTCGACAAAATCATCTCCCGCATTCCGTTTCACTGCCGTCTTATCATCCATTTCATCATCGGCATTTAGTTTACTCTCGGTTTCATCCTCTTTGATGCGTTGTAATTCCCATTTGATAATGACATCGGCCAGTTCGACCGATAGTTTTTTATGTTCCAATGAGGCATTGGGTGGAAAACCCAAACGTTGCATATAATTTACCAAATGAGTAACCAATTGATGACGTACTGGGAAATAGACTTTGTAGTGGCGTACAATTAATTGTAGAATGTGAAATAGCTGCTGCATTGAATGACCCTCTTCGACAATGATTTTCTTGGTCCAATGGGTTAACATGGTATTGCCATCTTCCATGCGGAGAGGCATGGCTGGGGTAAGAACATCCAAAGCTTGTCTTACCACAGGACGGGCCTCTAAGGCATGGCCTTTGAGTAGAGAATGGAATACTTGGAGTACGATTTTCTTGTGTATGGCCAGTCGGGCAATAATGTGGGCCAATAGCAAATGCCCATGATAACGTGCTGTGGGATCTACGGAATTTTTACTTAGCAAGCAGGGCCAGGCAAAGGTCATGAGACGTCTAAGCTTATTGCCTTGTATGCGATTATTGGCATCACCATCGTGTATGTGCTGCGAGGCCCTTTCCACCAGCAGGCAGGCAAATTGTAGCAAGGCAATGCGTACTGCATCATCCTTGGCATAAGGCTTTTCAGGATCAAACACCTTGCTGTTGATGAAAACAGAAACAATATTTGTTTCATCTTCCTGGAACTGTGTGGGTGGTGCACCAATTAATTTGTTGCCCTCTCCCTTATCAAAACTGGCCACAAAGCAAGGTATCAATATGGAGGTAATTATTTTGGCCTTCAACTCTTCAGATAAGGAGGCATTATTGAAATTCTCAATAAAATAAAAGAAGGCTTGGCGTTTCCAATACACCGTGTAACTTTGGGCCACTGTATTCTGTAGAAAGTCGCGCAGGAAATAGAAGTCGGGTATAAAATGCAAACACAATGCCCGTGATAGTTGGAAAAGTAATTCAATTTCATTGGTATTGTGGGAGAAATATTTCAGCAGGATTTTTCCCACCAAATGCCATTTATAGCTAATGACATTCTCCTGGCAGCTGTTGCTCAAGTTATATTGCCACAATTGTTTTAGGCAATTAATTAGATCCGTTTGCACAGCAATCCATTGATCATCACATTCCATGACAGTGTAGACAATTTTAATGGCCTGTTCCTGGACTTCTTGTTTTTGTTCATCATTCATAATGCTGGCATCGATTTGACCACAGCTGATTAAACGTATCAGGGCCTTAATACATTTTGGTGTCTTGAGGGCAGCATGGAATGGTTTACCATCTTTGTGTTTTAGTAGATAAATGAAAAATCGATTCCATTGGGCATCCACAATGTAAACATCGGAGAGAAAATAGTCCACAGTTTGATTGGGAAAACGTAATAGGAATTTCAGTAACGGAGCTCGATAAGGTGAAGAGGATTCAATCATTAAATTCTTTTCCGTTTGCAATACCAATTGACAAAGATTCTCAATATATTTCGGAGTGGCAGCGGTAATTTGGTGGAACATTTCAATGAGACAAACCACCTTCTGCTCATATTCCCCACCTCGAATGGCAGCAAAGAAATTACCACCCTGTTGTCCTTGTTTACAAATCTGTATGGACATTTCCAAAAGATTGCGGCACAACTCCAAGATTTGTTCACTCAGTTTCTCATTGAACATATGTGGAAATAGTTGTGTAAAATACGATAGCCTCTTGGTGGCTGTCAAAGTCAGATTACGATAATCTCCCAAAATCATCAGAAGTGGGCGTATACAATTGTGTATTTCTTTTTTATCAATTTGTATGCCGGCATTAAATCTCTTCATACATTTAAAGGCCGCCTCCTGCAGTTCGGGTTTCTTGTGATCCATTAATTTGAAAAGGATATTTATGATTTTATCTTTATGTTGGCTATCGGTAATATAGTGGCAAGCAGCCAGAGCCTTTAAAGCACTAATCCTTAGCGGTACCAAATTCGTAACATTTTTATAACAATCCAATTTCATGAGTGTAGAATCCTCCGCCTCGGATAAAGTTAGTAATTCATGGAAAAATAATTTATGATAGCTGTTGCTCAGGTCAATGGTAAACAGTCTAGGCTCCAAGGTGGTACAAAATGTATTTCCATCCATTAAACCAATTTGGGCATTAACCGGTTGATGTCTTAGCAAATGTTTTTTCGGTGGTATAATATCAGCCAATACCTCTTTGTGGGGATCCATGACCTCAGATACCGTACGATTTTGTAATTGGGCAATATATTTCAAAGATGCCATGGATTCCAGCCGTACCAAAGCATTTGGACTTGTCACCTGCCTACACAGCTCATGTACCACATCATATGTGGCCTTGGTTCGGATGGCTGTTATCTCTTCACTTGTTTCATGTTCCTTGGGTGCCATACAAAGATCCAGTAATGATCTCAAATTGGTCTTGGCAATGTAAATTGCTCCATTCGACACTTCGCCCTCCAAATCCATTAAAACAAACATAAAAGCCTTGACAAAGGAGAACAGGTGTTGGTACAAAGAACGTGGTGAAAAATGTTGATACAAAAATTGTATGGCCTTGCAACCGCCCACCTTGGCATACCAAGGCCGTTCATAACATAAGGCAGTCATTTTTTCCGCCAAATACTGCATTAATGGCAAACGGCAGGCTCGCTCCTTGCTACCCAAAATATTTGCTGCCGTATCCAATATCAAACCAATACATAATTGTCCTGGCTTACACAATTCCTTCTCTTCGTGGCCCATACAAATGGCTAAGGCATCAACCAAAACCAAGGGATCAATGCCATTCAACGAATAATATTGTTTAACCGGAAATGGTCCGGCCTGCTGGGCAATGGCAATCATGGTAAAGTGTCTGGCAATTGCCACCATAATGGGGAAAACAAATTCTCTTAAATCTTTTGTTGCCGAGGCCACAAACATTCCCGTCAAGGCATTTTGTAGTGTTTTCCTTGCCTGATAATCTTCGATTTTATTTTGATTTACCGGTACATTGACGATATTGTTTTCCAAGAAGCTGGGATGTAAAAAGAATTTCTGGAGAGTGTGTTTTTCATCATCGAGATTTATGGATGCTGCCAAATAGCAACGTATCACCTCCCAACTTTGACGGCGGTAAAAAGAATCCGTGGCATTGGAACTAAGGGCATTAAAGGCCGTTTCAATTGCTTTGTCAATGGGGAAGTCTATGGGTTTTTCATGTTCTTGGAAATAGGCCACAATGGAGGTGGGTTGTATTTCACTGTTGGTGTACTGGATACATTGTGGTTCGGTCATCATTTTACGATTACCACCGCCGAATTTACCCAAGACGCGGAATGCCACCAAGGCGGCATTATCTTGATTGCGTAAAGTTTTCCACAAGGCTTGCATCAAGGCGGCTCGTACGGGTTGTATGTGATCATACAGGAAATCAGGTTGTAAATTATCCACACATAATTCCAAGGTGCGAAGGCCCTAGGAAAAAAATAACTTAATTATTAAAATATATTATTTATTATAGAAATTGTTTATAACTCACCTGACTAACCAAAGTCGCTGAACCATTTAGAGCCGACACCAAAGGATCCATTAACATGGGCAAATAGGGCAGCAATGAGGACAATCTAACGGGCACTGTCAAACACAACTCCACAAAAAGATCTTTCATATGCTGTTTGTGAAAACCACTTTGTAGACGATTTAAACCCTCCAATAGATTTGGTAATAAAGGTAAAAATTCCTGATACAATAGATCATGGGAACCGCCACCAATCGAACGAAATAGAGCTCTTAGGAGAAGGAAATAATTATAAGGCTCCTCGGCCGTCAAAGCCAATTCCATTGATTGATTAACAATACTGTGTAGATGAGGTTTAAGCATTTGTTCATTTTCCACCGGAAATAAACTAACACTTCCAAATACCAATTTAAATAGACGTAAATAAAGATTTGATCTTTCGACATTTGTACCCATTTCATGCATTTTACCCAAGAGATATTCGACAAGGACAGTGGCGAATAGGGGTGATGTTTGTGGATTGGCTAGGAAGGAATTCGCCACAATTTGCAGCGAAGGATTTTTGTGTATACGTTCGACCATAAAATCAATTGTTGTGGCAAAGACTTCTTGGAAATTTTGTGGATGCATCATAAGGAACTGAAAGAAAAAAATAAAATGTTGGAAAAATGGGAATCATCCAAATTTTGAAAAATACTTACAATACCACTAAAATGTTCCAAAACCTCCTTCTCCTCCTTGGTCCTTGGCACCCCACCAGAGGGTTTCAATTGATTTGAGGCATTTATGGAATAAATATCTAAGGCCTCCATGGCCCAATGTACCAAATCAATATAGATGCTAACCTCATAGGGTTGAAAGATTTTATCCTGCTTTATTTTGGTAACATCCACTGAGGGAGACTGAAATAAAAAAATTATATTTTTGGATTAGAATAAAGAGATACCAATATAAAAATTGGTAAAAAATAGTTTAACAAGTATTTTTTAGACAAAAAAAAACCTATGTCAAGATCATCTATAGCCGGACTATCTTGCTGAGTACTTCTACATCAGGAGAATATGTTAATTAGAATGCATATTAGATCATTTAGAAGTAGCTTCTATTGTTATAAAATTTAAAGCCACAATGTATTCCAATGTATCTCCAGTTTTCTATGTGGACATATCTGCCAATATATCAACTTACCTTGGAGCTAACAAAACCCCAGGTAATGGTTTTGACACCACCCACTAAGGTTTTGACCAAGCTGCGATATTCAACTATGTTCAGGGAATACAACATTTGATTGCCGGTCAATTGATTTTTGGCAATTGAGTCGGCGGCGCTGTCCTGGAGGATTAAAAAAAATAAAGAAATTTATGTGAATATATGCAAAGTGATTTGAATTCAAAATTATTACCATAATGGCTGGTGGATCTTTGTTATCCAAACCTGTAGCATTCGAGGCCGGGGATGTGGATGAGGATGATTGAGCTTTCCTGTATTTAAAAAAATATATTTATTTTTTATATTTAAAATAAATTAAAAGAAAACTGCCCCCAAAATATACTCACAATCTCTGTGTAATGGTAGGCAATGTTATTTTGGCAATTGTTTGAAATTTATAAACGAAAACCTTTAACAAAGTGGTCAATAGACTTCTTGCCTTGTGTGGATCTACTTCACTGTGTTGCCGAACACAATCCACCAAATTAAGTAATAGTTTACATGACATTGTCTGTATGCCAGTGGCCAAGGACTCATCATGAACATTTTTTGAAAATAATTTAATGGCTTTTTCCAAAACATCCAAACTTAAACTTTGTCGTACATGATGGGCCAAATCAGCCAATGTGGAATAGGCCAATGGGCGTATGGAGTCCAAGGTGACACCCTTGCCAATTAATAAATCCTCATCGAACAGACGTTCAATTGAGGGTATAAATTCTGTAATGAATTAAAATAAATTATTAAAAAATAAATTAACAAAAAGGAGTGTATTTTTACTTTGTCTCAAATCCGTGGCAAATATGTGCCTTGCTGCAATCAGCAATTCCTTTCTCAAATGGGCCGCTTCTTTGGGACACAAATGCATGAGGCTTAATATACCACTTGTCACCGAAGCCGAATGATTCATAATGTTCTCTTGAAACAGTCGTACAATGTAGGCCAAAAAGGACAAGGTCTTAATTTGGGCTCCCATAAAATCAATGAATATTTCCTTATTGAAAAACTGGGAACTTCTGAAACAAACAGGCAAAGGGGAAAGGGATTAAAATAAATCATTAAAAAAAATCTAAAATATAATCACCTGTGTACTGTTGAGGGTTGCAGATTAATGGTTGTCATAATTAATGGTATAAATTCTGAGACTTCTTGGTGTACGGCATTCTTATAGATTTGATACATTAATACCACAATAATGGGTAATTCTTGTAAGACCCTTAGCGATAACATGCCACGGGGTAGTAGATTATACTGTAAGGAATTTATAAAGGAGAATATTCAATAAATAATTTTTTTTTTTTGAAAAATAGTCTTACCATTTGAAAGGTCACCGGATCTGTGGGATTTTCCAAATGTATTGTCTTAATGACATATGTTTCGGACAGCAACTGTTCCATATTTAACTCTTTGAGATCTTTAATTTTGATTTGTTGTGTGGGTTCGAAAATTTTATTCATATGATTGGGCAGCTCGGTGTAGATTTTTTTGACCAAGGCCAGGAATTGTTGGACCTGTAGGAAGGATAAAGAAAAAATAATTTAATGAAAACTCAAATAAAAAACCAAATTTTAGGCCTGACATTGGTTTTAATGTAATTTGAGACCCATTTTCTTTAGGAAGTATTTTAGGTACGCAAGAAAAAAATCTATTTTTGCAAGGAGGGCACCTCTGGAGCTGCTTGTTTTAACAATTCGCATCAGAGCCTCCAGTATGCAATATTACTTCTACCCACCTCATTATTAAACGATGGTCGAAAATTTTTGTGCAATTCAATGATGATGCGCAGGCAGACCAAAACATTTTCCTCATTATCAATTTGTAGGATGTTTAACATCAGCGAAATTATAGATTTCACATGTTGACGTAGATTTTCACTAATGGGCAGGCGATGGATCATTTCCAGAATTAATTTTCGCACCTGCAGAAAAAAAGCGGCAAGAAAACAAAAAATCAGGAAATCTTTACAATACACACCAAGCGCAAGGGGGTGGGGGTAGGAGTGAGGCGGGAATCCTCTACTTTACCTGATGTGCCTGATATTCCTGTATAAACTGTGGCTCACCATCCTGCAAAAAGTGCATAAACGCCTTCAGCGAATGCTCCAAAAACGATGGATACGATGAACTCTGCACAACCACCTCGAAATGTTCACTTAGCTCCTGGGCCGCACGCAATTTTTTATCATCCGTCGCCTTGCTATCGGCCAATATTGTAACATAACTTCGAAAAGTATTTAATTGGAAATTTTCACTGTGCGCCATTTTCGCGGTACATTTATTTTATTTGTTTATTAATTTAATATTTTATATTTATTTATTATTAATATTTATTTAATTACTTTTATTTTTTCATGCACACAGTGTTGTTTGCTGAGACGTGTGTTTGCGAAAATAACAGGGTTGCTGTTAGTCAAAGCAATGTTGCTTGGCAAAGAACAGGGTGGTTCAAAGATTGTTATAATGTAATGTAATATAACGAGGCAATATTTGCAATTTTAAAAAAATTTCTTTTTTATTTTAATTCTTTCTATTTCTTTTCTCGTGTCATCGTCTGAAGAAAAACCACCTGCTAACGAATGAAAGGAGAAGATAAAATGTCGGATAACCGAAAGTTTACGAATGATGTGGGAGGGAGACTAAAGGAGAACCGAATTGTTTACGATTGGTGGAAGGGAGACTAAAGGAGAACTGAATTGTTTACGAATGAGGTGGGATGGAGAATAGAGATGAGATGTGTAGTTTGCGAAAATAACAGGGTTGCTACTAGTCAAAACAATGTTGCTTGGCAAAGAACAGGGTGGTTCAGAGATTGTTATAATGTAACATAATGATGATGTAGACAAGGTGACACACAGCGGTTGCTTGTTTTATAAGGGAATAAAAAAAATTAAAATCAAGGTCGAAAGGGGTGGGATAGAGACTAAATGAGAATCGAATTGTTTACGAATGAGGTGGGATGGAGAATAGAGATGTGTAGTTTGCAAAAATAACAGGGTTGCTATAAGTCAAAACAAATGTGCTTGCAAATAACAGGGTGGTTCAGAGTTTGTTATAATATAACACAATGATGGTGCTGTAGACTAGTTGACACACAGTGTTAGCTTGTTTAATAAGGGGATAAAAGAATAACAAAATAAAATAAAATGCAATAATAATATATTTAAATGCAATTAAATTATTAAAAAAAATAATAACAACATTAAAAAATAACCGTTTACCATCTTGACAGTTCTGTTTTTTTTTCAAATTAAACCTAGCTCTCCTTTGCGATTAAAAAAATGATTTCAAAATATCGAACAAAACTAGTTAAACCGTTAGTCCAAATATGTGCATAATATTTAATTTTTCAAAATTCAATATCGTGTTATCTTGACTATTTTTACGTACTCCACTTGTCATCATATTTTTAGTCGGCTTCCAAGTTCATTCCGACTTCAAGTTGTGCCCAACACTTGCCTTGCAGGGGCAGAATATACCGGATGTGAACCTAATATTCAAGTCAATTTCATAAATGAGAACCTAGCCCAAAGGGCCATGAGTGATTCCAAAAACTTCATTATATGGTCTACTCCAGGTTAAGTTGAAAAGCGGATTTTTATAAAAAATACTCCCCTCAATTAAAAGACCAAATACAAAAAATACCCCCAAAGAAATAAAACAAAATGTTTTCTATTAACTTTCTTAAATATTAGAATATATTCTATTATCATTATATCGTTTTTCGTTTATTAATTATTTATATATATAATTAGTTTTCATTTTAATCATTTCAAATTTGTTGTTTGTTGTAATTATAATAATTATTTTTTTTTCACTAAAATTGTATGAGTTTGTTTTGTTGCTTGTTATCTCGCGATTTCGTTTTTTGTAATTTTTATATTTTTAATTTATTTTGTTTGATTTTTTTTGTAAATAAGACAAAGACAAAATGAAAAAATATTTATAATAATATATAATAATTATAATAATAATAAAAAATTAAAATGTTTTTGTTTTATGAAATATATGTATGGTTGTAATATGTTTTGTGTGTATGTTTTTTGTTGTTGTTGATTTTTTTGTAAGTATGTATATAGTACAAATTGGTGCATTGTTACGATTACGATGTTGTTGTATGGCCCTGACAGGCCATTTCTCAAAGGGGGCTATTTTCGGAATCATCACGTTCCTGAATAGCAGTTATGCTCTGTTGTAAGGCATTGGGAGTTAACCATTCCCTGAAATATAGAAGGAATGATATTTATACTATAAATTGTGGGGGGCAAATTCATATAGTAACACCTACTTTGGCAAGCATCTTTGTAAGAAAGGTACACATGAACTGAAATGGGCTAAACGATTTACCCAACTGGGAATTTCTTGGCCGCAAAGGATCTATGAGGAGAAATATGGAAACAATTAAATAAAAATACAACTTTTTGGGAGAATAGTTTGTAAAGATGTCACAGATTAATTATAGTCATTATAAAATATCTGTGGCCTCAATATAGACCAATAGAGATATTTGGTCTCTATATATACCATATGGTTATTATAAAGACCTTTGGTCTCTATACATACCAATTTGTTTTTATAAAGACCTTTGGTCTCTATATATACCAATGGGGGCTTTATAAAGACCTTTGGTCTCTATATAGACCATATGGTGTTTATAAACACCTTTGGTCTCTATGTAGACCATATGGTCTTTATGAAATCTTTTGGTCTCTATATAGACCATATGGTCTTTATAAAGACCTTTGGTCTCTATGCAGACCAATTGGTGTTTATAAAGACCTTTAGTCTCTATATAGACCATATGGTCTTTATAAAGACCTTTGGTCTCTATATAGACCATATGGTCTTTATAAAGACCTTTGGTCTCTATATAGACCATATGGTCTTTATAAAGACCTTTGGTCTCTATATAGACCATATGGTCTTTATAAAGACTTTGGTCTCTATATATGGTCTTTATAAAGACCTTTAGTCTCTATATAGACTATATGGTCTTTATAAAGACCTTTGGGGCCTATGTAGACCAAATGGTCTGTGTAAAGAGATCTGGTCACCACACAGACCAAATGGTACTGTATAAAGACCTTTGGTCTCTATATAGGCCATATGGTCATTATAAAGACCGTTGGTCTCTATATAGGCCATATGGTCTTTATAAAGACCCTTGGTCTCTATATAGACCATATGGACTTTATAAAGACTTTTGGTCTCTATATAGACCAAATGGTCTTTGTAAAGACCTTTGCTTTCTATATAGACGATATGGGCTTTGGCCTCTATATAGACCATATGGTCTTTAAAAAAACTTTGGTCTCTTCAAAGACCCTTGATAACCAATTTTTCCATATGTTTTCTTCCACATACCTGAGTAAGTGCACTGGAAAAATGATTGCAATTATTATTCATTAAATGATAACGGTCACCACGAAATTGATTGCCCAATTCCTAAAAAAAAAAACAATTTTTAAATTAAATTCTTCCATTAAAAATAAATTTCGACTAACCTCCACAATACGACGAACTTCCTGATACGTAAAATCTGTACATCCTATTTGTATACTTTGTCTAAATTGAAATTGATCGCCGAGTTCATCGTGATCTCTGGGCGTTATTTCAAATACGCCGGTAAATGAAAATGGATGACCGCCATAGGCGAATTCGGTGCCAAAAACTTCAACACCCGAATGAAAAACACCCAAACCTATTGATGTTGTGTACTCGTTTATCCAATACTGTAAAGAAAAAAAAAACTGGTCAATATTTTCTTTTTTAATATTTATTTCAAAAATTCGCTTACCATATCGTATACATTCAAAATTACCGGTTCTCGATTACCAGTATTGGAGGGCAGTAGTTCATCATTTCCACTATCTTTTGATATGCCCAAACAACTGGGAAACGGTAAATTGCAAGGAAGACCATTCGAAAACATCTCGCATTAATATTTACTAACTGCAAGAGATGGAGAGACAGAAGACAAAAAACATTGAGAGAGAGCGTGTGAGTGAGAGGTATGCACGAACAGTCCTGTTAATTAATTTTTGATTAATATTCCAATCACATATTCCCCAATTTTTTTCGTGGTTCCAACGAAAAAAAAAATCGATGTAAAATGATAAATTGTTGTTCGCTGCTGCTGCTGTGGCCGCCTCAGCTGCGCCACTACTAGGCCGCAGTCGACGTTGTAATCATGAATGAGCGTAACCACGAAACAAAGTACTACGGCCGCCTCTGCTGCTGCCGCCGTTGCCACTCGCACTCAATGACAACAATGAATGATATTTATTCTGGGGTTTTGGCCCAATATACAACAACAATCTGAACTATTTGCCATAATTACACATTGCGGCCCAATGACCACTACCACTTGTCATCGCGTATTGTTTATTTTTACAATGTCAAATTCTATGATTACTTTCTCCATATAAATTGATATTTACGCCACACAATAATGACACACACACAATGCTACATACAACAAAGACGAAAGATTTACTTATTATTTTGCATCACTTTTTCCACCATACACATATGTCGCTTATTTCTTTCTGTTCTTTTTTTTTTTTGGTTTGTACAACAAAAACAACAATCATGCAGCAGCAGGCAGCCAGCCAGCCACCAGCAGTAACAACGAATGAACTACTCTAAAATAAAACTGGAACACATCTCTCTTCTCTTTACCTTACGAATACAATTTTTGGTTGAGAAAAATAAACAGCAACAACAACAGAAATTTACAACAATAATTGTTTTGAATTTAACGTTTTTTGTGTTTGTTTGTTGTGAATTGTATTTTGTTTATAGTTACGGGGTTTTAACACGAAAATATCAATCCATTTGTTTTTTATGTATCTTTGTTTAATAAATAATAGGGTTATGTAGATCGACTTTCGACTACTCGATTAATCGATATATTGTTATGAAAAGTCAAAGTCGACTTTTGATCTTTGAGAAAATCACAAAGTCAACTTTCGATTTTCTTCATAAATACTTGGGTTTTTATCACAACCCCCAAATTGCTAAAAGAATACACATTACAGAACTTTTTTTTTATCCATTGGCAAAAATTCACATAAAAAAAATCAAATTTTACTCGATTTTCAACATAGATCAAAAAGTCGGCTTTTTAGTCAAAGGCAAAAATGAAAAGTCTAAAGCTGTGTATACACTAGCACTTTTGAGTGACAGCTGTTTTTTTTTATCGATTACTGACTGTCCAACAACCTTGAATATTTTTGTGGTTACCTGATGAATGACAAACATGACAGGCCACACTATCAAGTAAGCAAAAGTTTGGCAAGAGTGCCATTCAAAAGTGGTAGTGTGTACACCGCTTAAAAGTCGACTTTTGCATATGACTAAGTATCCCTATTTGTGTTAATAAATAATAGGGTTAAGGAGAACGGTTTCTGACAACTAGCTGCCATTGACTTCGATTGTTGTCGTTGACAGAGCAGTATTGGGGCGTATTTACACCGAATATTGACATAATGATAAAACATAATTTGATTGCGATTTAAATGATACAAAAGTATAACGTTTATATCATAAATGCAGAGTATTTCCTGTCCATTTCAAAGTGCACTCCAATTACTATATTTTTCTTGTATACAAACAAACATCAGCTGATTGTCATTTATATGATCAAAGACAATGCCTATTTATAATGTAATCCAGGGAGACTAGCACAACAAACAAAGTCCAAATTGTTGACAATTGGCTTGATAAAAAACAAGTGAAAAGGCATTAAGTTCGGCCGGGCCGAACTTTGGATACCCTCCACTATAGATATACTGACAGGTACTTGAAATGGTAATATAGGGAAAATACCAGAAAGTGGACTCATTCCGACATTTCTACAAACCGATTATGTAAACCATGATACAACTTTCCGAAAGTTTTAATGAATAATTATACCCTCAGCCTTATGGCAAATTAGGGTGTATACTCAACGCGGAACAAATCAGATAACTATTTTAATATAAAAAGGGGATTATGTGGGGACTACCCCAAAAAAGGCGGCGAATATTAATAATTTTTGGTAGGGAGATTTTTTAACATATACGACTACAAAATACCAAATTCCAACGCATCCGGTAGAAAAACGCGCTCAAGAAACCCAAAATACCGAAAATTGGGGGTACCCTTATATGGGGGATATCCAAAACAAAAATGAACCTATATTCATAATTTTTTGTGAAGAGATTTGGTACCTATTAAGAACTCAAAATACTAAATTACAACCAATTCGGTAGAAAAATATGATCAAAACCCCCAAAATACTGAAAATTAGGAGATACCGTTATATGGGGGCTACCAGAAAAAGTGGACCTATATTCATAATTTTTTGCGGAGACATTTAGTACCCAATAGGAACCCAATGTACCAAATTGTAGCGAATTCGGATGATAAACACGCTCAAGAACCGCAAAATACCGAATTATTAGGGGTACCGTTATATAGGAGCTATGCCTAAACGTGGACCGAAATATCCTATCTTCGAACTTGACCTGCCTGCAGACAAAAGACAACCCTATGCAAAATTTCAGCATCCTATCTCAATTCCTTCAGAAGATAGCGTGATTACAACATATATATATATATATATATATACTTTATAGGGTCGGAAATGAATATTTCGATGAGTTACAAACGGAATGACAAAATTAATATCCCCTCCATACAATGGTGGAGGGTATAAAAAACAGCTGATCAAAGGAAAGTTAGGGTATATTTCAGTATTACAAAAATCGATTGGATATATAATTGTACATGTAAACCTATAAGAAATATTTGCAAACAATCTTATGATAAATAGATTATAAATTTTATCTTATGAATATCTTTATATGAATATCTTTAATTTTATATTTTAGTTTTTAATTGTATAATACGTCAGAAAACAGCAGTCTGTCAAAGTGCATAGTTTCTGTTTGAATTCGAGGTGCAACATTAGCATCATTCCCATGGCACAATGAATAGGTAGTCCATTTAGTGCAGCTGATGTCTTGATTAACTGTCAAAGTGGGTAATTTCTACTTGAATTCGATGTGCAGTGTTGCCAACCATTTGAAATATTATATGGACAATTTTGACAGATAATCGAGACAAAAACAAAGGTTTTTGTTGGTATACATCACCTTATTATTGCATCATGCATCATTCCCTTGAATGTAAACATGTCAAAATAAATAGGTACTCCATTTAGCGCAGCTGACTATACGATTTACATCACCCTTATTATTGCTTAATGGATGTAATCATGGCCTCAATAGTAAGATCAGATGATTTCACTCGTGCTGTCAAATTACATTCTATTGTGAACAAATTGTGTATAATTTCTAAATAATTACTTACCTTCAGAAAATTATTAATAAAAGACATAAATATAAAATGAATTATTATTACATTTATTAATACATTGTAAATGAATGTATTTTTTATTCGTTTTTCTTTTTTCACTTAAATTTCTAAAATACAGTAAAATCGTAAACTTATATTTATTAAGTAATCGTATAGTGTATGTATATGTATAAGTTTTTTTTTTGGGGGGACTGGAGTTGTGAAGGATGGGTATATAATAATAATGATAATCTCAATACGAAGACGTTGTACGATTGATATGTATTGAATGTCTTTCTTGTTTTCGAAATTTGGCACGACGATTTTGGAACCAAACCTGAAAGGAAAGGAAGAGAATATATGAAATTAATTATAATAAAAAATGTAGTAGTAGTGATTTAATACCTAAAAAAAGAGAATATCAAAAATTAATAAGATGGATAATCGAGTTAAAGTGATTAAGGGCGTATTTACACTGAACGTGTTTTATGAGAAATTGACATTTTATTGTCGTCTAAGTTGTCATTTTCTTTGTATATATGTCAAACAAATGAGTTCGCCAAAACTGCTGGGTGTAAATATACCTTTCGAGCGGTTAGACTACTAAAACGGCATTTACATTAGAACTTTTTACCGGGTTAACCTATTCTATGAGGTTTTATTTGGCATGTATACAATGGAATTGACAATTGAAACCCACCGGTACAATGTAAACGTACTATAAGAGTGTGAATCCATCCATGAATACGTAAATAAATATCAGCTGACTAATAACTTTTAATAATTTTAATATTAGTTCCTCAATTTACAAATAGAGTCGTGAATTGGAAAGCATACACTAAACGCATGTTAGACGAGAATATACCAAAATTATAAAATTTATAATCGGGTAAAAGCTATTTAAATATTGATTATTTTGGACGTGTAAACACAGTCTAAACAGATATCAGCTGATTGACATACTTCATATCAATTTCAAACACGTCCATGCTACAATGAATAGGTAGTCCATTTAGCCCAGCTGATGCCTCGAGTAACAGTCAAAGTTGGTAATTTCTACTTGAATTCGATGTGCAGTGTTGCCAGCCATGTGAAATATTATAAGCAAAAATTTGACAGATGATCGTGACAAAAACAAACGGTTTTGTTTTTATACATCACATTATTATTGCATCATGAACTCGTCAAAACTGAAATCGGAAAATTTTCCATCGAGTAAAACAACAAACCGACTGCTTTGATGCGGGCACATTCTCTTGTAGAGATGAAGAAGGAAACCTGGTGAGATACAGACAGCATATTGAGGATCTTAAAGGGCCATTTTGCAAAGTTTCTGGTATCAAATAGTCACGGCATAGATTGTATACCACCTAACCAAGATGAGGTCAGAATAGCAATTAATCGGCAATTAATGCTGATTAGTACAATTCGGCTAGAGGAATGCATGCCTAATAATTGGAACCTCAGCATCCGGTGTCCAGTGAAGAAAAAAGGAGACAAGACGATATGTACCAACTATAGAGGAATTAGTCTACTTCCCATCGTATATAAAGTGCTATACAATTAAATAGTAACGGTATCGATTGTATACCACCTAACCAAGCGGAGGTCAGAATATCAATTAATCGGTGGAAGAATAATAAAGTAGCAGGTGCTGAAGAATTAAAGACCGGTGGTCAGAGGCTGATTATTACAATTTGGCTAGAGGAATGCATGGTCAATGGCCCTGTGCCCAGTTCACAAGACGATATGTACCAACTATATAGGAATTAGTCTCCTTCCCATCGCAAATAAAGTGCTATCCAGCGTGGGAACGACTGAAGCCAATGGTCAATGATTTTATTGGATCGTATCAATGCGGCTTCAGATCTGGGAAATCCACTATAGGCCAAATCATGGAAAAACACATCGGTATATTCCACCTATTCGTCGACTATAAAGCCCCATTCAACAGTCCAATCCGCTCAGAGGTTTTTAAAGCCATGTGGGCGTTCGGAATTCCTTCAAAATTAATAAGGCTATGTAGGATAACTTTAACTGGCACAAGGTCAGCAGTTAACGTCGGAAAGGACCTCTCCGAGCATTCCAATATCGAACGAGGAATCAGATAAGGTGACAGTTTGTCGTGTGACCCTTTTAACATCCTGCAAATGTGAACAGAATTGGTACCCTGTACACCAAACAGCATATGTTACTCGCCTATGCCGACGACATCGACCTTTGAACAAATTGAGAAGGAGTCTGCCAAAGTGGAACTGGCAGTAAATGGCAAGAAGAAGCTGATGGTATCAATGCGCAAGACGTCCAGTAGACTCAGATGAACTGTGGAACTTGAAAACTACAGATTTGAGGAACGATGTAAATGATCTGAGTCTGAGTAAGCAATTCACAAAATAATTCCACCTCTCGCCAGACCAAACTCTCACTCTACAAGACGCTGATACTACCCGTGATGTTGTATGGATCTGAAGCATGGGTTCATGCGCAAGCAGACGATGCCGCTTTTGGAGTGTTTTAGAAGATGGGGAAGATCTACGGACCGATCTGTGTCGACGGTGCATATTGCCGTCGAATGAACCATGAGTAGTGTACCATCTATTTTCGGACATCGACATAGTCAGACGTATCGAGCCGAAGCAACTACGTTGGCTAGGTCATGTTGTGAGAATGGATGAGGATTCCCCCACTCAAAAGGTATATAAAAGCGAGTCAACTGATGGTTCACGAAGAAGGGGAAGGCCACAAATCCGATGGAAAGATCAAGTGAAAGACAACATCTCGGAACTAGGTCTTTCAAATTACAAGAGCTACGCACAAGACCGACGCGCCTGGAAATCTTACTTAGGGGTGCCTAAATTCAAAGGGATTCCGGGAAAGGCGTTTGTAGTTTTTGGAACAAGAAATTTTAACTTTTCAAAAGATTTTTTTTTATTTTCCCCAGTAACTTCTATATAAACTATCAAGCAAATACAAGGCTTATGGGTTCCGAGGACATTTTTTTTCAAACTAAAATAGTTTCTCTCTCTCTCTCTAAAGTGAAAATTATACCCACCCATCTCTAACTTTGAAATACTGTCTGTTGTTTTTATTGATCTCCCCGAAAAACTGACAGCATTTCAAATAAGTTTCAAATCTTTTACAAAATGACAGCTCTATAATTATGAGAAAAAAAACATTAGACAAGAAACTTCAAAACAACCCTCATATTTACCTTATCATCCGCAATCGAACAATATCTAAATTCACACACACCATTCCACACACTCTCATTATTTCCCCATAAGGATGTTAGGACTTTTGTTTTCCCCGTCTTGAAAAACTTCAAAGTGACCGAATGCAATAATATTTTCCTCTTTCATTTAGCAGCAATGCCACCGTTCATCTCAATGCGGAACAAACATTGGAAATTCCCTAGAGATCTGGGCGCGTTGCTGTGAGTTACGATGAGTGAGTAATTGTTGCGTTTTTAATTCATTTAGTATATTTTCCAGCATCAGGACATCAGATCCAACACGTGTGCGGAAGCTTTAATGTACTTTTTTTTGAGATTTGTATAGATTTAAGTGATGGAAATTAGATTTGCTCGATTTGCAGGCGATTTTCACTATTTTTTTTTTTTTTGCAGAATAAAATAGGAAGAGGAGGAAATATATATGTCAAAAAAATGAGATAAGAGTGTGCTAAAATTATGACGTCTAAGAACTAAAGAGAAGACCGAAAACTGCCATGGGATTTGTTCTAATTCTGTGGTTATCCCGAGTCGCCACCTAGGTAAAGCACGCGAGGTGGGAATTCTGTCGACTAGGAGTTTACGTGAGTTTTGGATAGGACATCCCTAAAGTTCAAATAATCTCTCTCGTACTTCGTCACTATCTGAAGTTGTTTTCTAATTCGTAGGAATTCCTCTTTAGTTATCGAACAGGACCGTCACATTGTGCTTCAAAGGGATCATTGATCCTTGTTCATTTCCTCTGAAACCTTCCTTCTGTTACCCATCAAGTTTACTTGAAGTTCCACTATTCTCAACATGTGAACGATTCCGTTAACAATCATCTATGCTTCCAGAAAAATTATATACATTCCCTTTTTAAGTTGGGCGGAATTTTAACGCTTTGTTGGTCTCGATATAGGGTTAAATAGATAGGACCGTTTGCCATTGTAATGTCTTGGTACGACTTTCAATTAGGAAATTTTATAACTTGTGTCGTTGGGCACAATCTTTACGATTTGGTCGTCTGGATATTTGATTTAGAAAATAGGACATTAGGCCATTAAGTGTCTTGGTACGCCTTTCAATTAGGATTTTTAAACATTTTTTCATGTTGGGCGCCATTTTCACGGTTTGATGGATTAAGTATATAGGACATTAGGCTACTTAAGTGTTTATGTTGGGCGCCATATGTGGGTTCTGGTGGTCTAGTTTCCTCTAAAACCCTCCTTGCTCATTTTTTTCTGTTCGGCGCCATCTTTACACTTTGTTGGTCTAGTTATTGGATTAAGAAGATAGGGCATTAGGCCACTTAAGGGTCTTGGTACGCTTTTTCAATTAGGAATTTTTATAAGTTTTTCTGTTGGGCGCCATCTTTACACTTTGGTGGTCTCGTCGATATAGGTTTACGTGGGTAGGACAGTAAGCCGCTTAAGTGTCTTGGTACACCTTTCAATTAGGGATTTTTATAAATTGTTGTGTTGGGCGCCATTGTAATTATATACGCTACGGTGGAGTACTTGGAGTCGACTAATTCAGGGCCGCCAATATTCGCCACGTTGATTTCCTTAAATACTCTTTCTACTTATTTATTCGCATTCGCATACCACTACCCTCAATCTCTGTGGCGCCATCTTCACGTTTTGATTGTCTCGATATAGGATTAAGTAGATAGAACATTAAACCATGTATGTGCCTTGTTATGCCTTTCAATTAGGAATTTCTTAAATGAGTTTTCTGTTGGGCGCCATTGTAATTATATACGCAACGGCGGAGTATGTGGATCCTGTCTTATTCCGGACCGCCAATATTCATCACGGTATTATTTATTCGCAGTTACCGAACCAGTATACTGAACGTGTCACTATCCTCAAGCTGTGTATAACTATAATATATGCTTTCAGTAGACAATTATAATCCCAGAAATTATGTTGGGCGCCACAGTAATTATATCCGCCAATTGTATTGGCGGACGAATTATTTATTTTCAGTTACCGAACAAGTATAATGGACGTCGTCTCACTATCCTCAAGCCGTGAATGCATCCTATAACAATTATATAAGCTTCCAGTAGAAAATTCTAATCCCAATGAAAACTCAGAAATGATGTTGGGCGCCAAAGTAATTATATCCGCCAAGTCATTCATTACCAGCTGGTAAAATAATATTTCTTTCGGTTGTACGCCATCTGTGGGCTTTGTAGGTTTAGAAGTACTCTAATTATTTATTCTCAGTTACCGAACAAGTATACTGGACGTCGCACTATCCTCAAGCTGTGGATGCATCCTATAACAATTATATATGCTTCCAACTGACAATTATGATCCCAATGGCAATCCCAGAAATTATGTTGGGCGCCACAGTAATTATATCCGCCAAGGCGTTTATTTTATCTGCCAAAATAATATTTCTTTCTGTTGGGCGCCATCTGTGGGTTTTGACGGTTTAGAAGTACTCTAATTATTTATTCTCAGTATGCTGGATTCTCAAGTATGCTGGACGTTTCAGTATCTTTAGTGACAATTAAAATCGCAATGGTAACCTAGAAATTATGTTGGGCGCCACAGTAATTATGTACGTCACAGCATCATTAGCAGCTGGTAAAATAATATTTTCTTTCTGTTGGGCGCCATCTGTGGGCTTTGGTGGTCTAGAAGTAGGTGTCTTGGTACCCCTTTCAATTTGTCGTATTTTATATATTTGTTTTTGTTGGGCGCCATCGTCATATTTTATATATTTTTTTGTTGGGCGCCATTTGTGGGCTCTGGTGGTCTAGAAATAATATTAAAGAGACAGGACGTTGCTTTACTTAGCAGTCTGAGTGCGCTTTTTCGACGTATTTGAAATATTTTTTGTTGGGCGTCATCTGTATGTCTTGTTGGTCTAAGGTAGGACGTTGCGCTCCCAAGGAGTCTATGTACCCTTTTTCGATTTGTCGTATTTTTTCAGTGGGCTTTGGTGCTCCAGAGTTAGGATTAAAGAGGACGTTGCTCCACTTAGGTGTCTGTGTACCCCTTTCAATGCGTCGTATTTTATATATTTTTTTGTAGGCAGGCACCATCTGTTGGCTCTGGTGCTCCAGTGATAGGATTTAGGAGGTAGGACGTTGTGCCCTTAGGTGTCGTTATGCCGTCTTTATGTTCGGCATTTTCTATATTTTTCTGTTGGGCGCCAAATGTGGGATCTGGTGATTTAGAGTATTAAAAACAATTGGTAGGACGTTGCGGCACTTAGGAGTGGGTACATTTTTCTAATTCGTCGTATTTTTTTTGTGGTGGTTTAGAGTATTAAAAATAATTTGATAGGACGCTGCGTCACTTAGGTGTCTGTGTACATTTTTTAATTCGTCGTATTTTTTTTGGTTGGGCGCCATCTGTAGGCTGTAGTGCTCCAGAGAAAGGATTTAGAAGGTAGGACGTTGCACCACATAGGTGTCTGGGTACCCTTTTCAAATCGTCGTATTTTATATTTTATTAGTTGGGCGACATCTTTGGGCTCTGGTGGTCTAGATATAGGATTAAAGAGGCAGGACGTTGCGCCACTTAAATACATATTTTTTGGACTTTTTGGTCTAGAGGTAGAGTTTAGAAGGTAGAACGTTGCTTCACTTAGGTGTCTGGTTATACTGTTGTTGGGCGCTATCTGTGGCCTCTGATGGTCGAGAGTTAGGATTTAGAAGGTAAAACGTTGCGCCTCCTAGGTGTCTGGGTACGACTTTTAATTCGGAATTTTCTACACTTTTCTGTTGGGCGCCATATTTACGCTATGGTGGGCTAAATATAGGATTCGGCTTTTAATTCGGAATTTTCTAAATTTTTCTGTTGGGCGTCATCTGTAGGCTGTGGTGGTCTGGAGATAGAATTAAAAAAATTAGGTAGAACGTTGCGTCATTTAGGTGTGTGGATACCCTTTTCGATTCGTCGTATATTTTATATATTTTTTTGTTGGGCGCCATCTGTGGCCTCTGTTGGTCTAGTGTTAGGATTTAGAAGGTAGGATGTTGCGCCTCCTAGGTGTCTGCGTACCCTAACTGTTCAATTCGTCATATATTATATATATTTTTGTTGGGCGCCATCTGTAGGCTGTGGTGCTCCAGATATATAATTAAACAAAAAATTTGTGCGTCATTTAGGTGTGTTAATTCGTCGTATATTTTATATATATTTTTTGTTGGGCGCCATCTGTGGCCTCTGTTGGTCTAGAGTTAGGATTTAGAAGGTAGGACGTTTCGTCCCTTATGTGTCTAGGTACCCTAACCTTTCAATTCGTTATATTTTATATATATTTTTTGGTGGTCTAGAGTAAGGATTTAGGTACGGTAGGTCTGGGTACGGCTTTCCATTTGACATTTTCTACACTTTTCTGTTGGGCGCCATTTTTACGCTGTGGTGGGCTAAATATAGAATTAAGAAGGTTCGCTCAATTTGACATGATATTTTACTTGATTGTACGGGAACGGGTTTATAGTGAAGAGTTTTACATATGAGTTTATGCAATTCACCACAACAATGATGTTGGGCGCCATTGCAATTATATCCATTACGCCTATATACGTCTAGTGTAATACATATATTTTCTATTGGGCGCCATCTGTAGGCTTTGGTACTCCAGAGATAGAAATAAGAAGGTAGGATATAATGCCACAAGTTTCTGAGTTCGTCTTCCGATTTGATGATTTTTTTAATATTTTTTGTTGGGCGCCATCTATACGCTCTTGTGGGTTAAATATAGGATTCAGAACGTAAGCTCTAGCATCGCATAAGTAGATGTTTTGCTATTAATACTCGCTAGTCGGAAGGCAGGCCAATAAAAATGATGCATTATATCCAAATTGACCTTATATTTTACCCGATCGTGGTTTCTATGTAAAACTGATAGACCTTTGTATACGTAAAAAAATCAAAAAAAAAATATTTCCTAACTATTTTTTAATAATAAAAAAAAAATAAATGTCATTTACCGAAAAACATTTTCAAATGTCAAATATATATATGCACAAAAAATGTTTCCCACCTCCCCATAAAATATTTACATACAGTACATTCACACACAAATATATGTTTTGTGTGTCTGAACATACGTGTATATATATATGTATATATATATATATATATATATAATATAAATATCTTTGATATACTGATGTGCAAAGTAATCATTTATTCCTTTTGATTTTGTTGTTTTTTCGGAATTGAAACATCAAACAAGCGGTTTTAACATGGCATTTGAACATTTGCTCCCTTTTTGACGAATAATAATCCGAACATTTGGCAAAATGTTTGTTTGTGTGTGTGTCTGTGCGTGTGATTTTATTTATTAGCATATTTAATTAATTTGAAACCGGGGTATGGATTTACATTTATTGACGAAAGGTAGACAATTTGTAAACAAAGTCAATTTAAATAGGCATAAACATCAGAGAGAGAGAGGGAGAGAGATCGGAATTATTATGGAAATGACAAATTTCTTAAGCCGATGCAGGAGATTTTTTTTGTAACTTTTTATTAGAATATTAAATATTGCAATTAGGAAATTGAAGAAATTTGATTTTTTTATTTAAATAATAAAATCAATATAATAAAAATGGCGCCCAAATCTTTATAGTTTTGAAAATTTATAATTCGAAAAAAATCCACGCCTGGAAAAGACAAACATTATTGCGAAGTCAATAGACACATCCTTTTAAGTGGCGCCCAACATTTTCCCAATATATAAATTGTAATAAAAAATTGAAGACTTTAATATTCCTTTGATTTTTTTTAAATTCACGCCTTAAGACCTCAATCAGACTTTGAAAATTTCTTTAAAAAATCCACGCCTTAAGACCTCAATAAGCCTTTGAAATTTTCTTTAAAAAATCCACGCCTTAAGACCTCAATCAGACTTTGAAAATTTCTTTAAAAAATCCACGCCTTAAGACCTCAATCTGAATTTGAAATTTTCTTTAAAAAATCCACGCCTTAAGACCTCAATCTGAATTTGAAATTTTCTTTAAAAAATCCACGCCTTAAGACCTCAATCTGAATTTGAAATTTTCTTTAAAAAATCCACGCCTTAAGACCTCAATCTGAATTTGAAAATTTCTTTAAAAAATCCACGCCTTAAGATTTCGATATGCCTTGAAAATTTTCTTTAAAAAATCCACGCCTTAAGACCTCAATCAGACTTTGAAAATTTCTTTAAAAAATCCACGCCTTAAGACCTCAATCAGACTTTGAAAAATTTCTTTAAAAATCCACGCCTTAAGACCTCAATAAGCCTTGGGAAAATTTCTTTAAAAAATCCACGCCTTAAGACCTCAATCAGACTTTGAAAATGTTCTTTAAAAAATCCACGCCTTAAGACCTCAATCAGACTTTGAAAATGTTCTTTAAAAAATCCACGCCTTAAGACCTCAATCAGACTTTGAAAATGTTCTTTAAAAAATCCACGCCTTAAGACCTCAATCATACTTTGAAAATTTCTTTAAAAAAATCCACGCCTTAAGACCTTAATCAGACTTTGAAAATTTCTGTAAAAAATCCACGCCTTAAGACCTCGATATGCCTTGAAAAAATTCTTTAAAAAAATCCACGCCTTGAGGCCTTAATACGCCTTAAGACCTCGATATGCCATGGGAAAAATTTCTTTAAAAAATCCTCACCTTAAGACCTCGATATGCCTTGGAAAAATTCTTTAAAAAAATCCACGCCTTAAGACCTGGATATGCCTTGGAAAAATTATTCAAATTTTTCACGCCTTTAGGGTTTAAAAGTGCCTGGTATTTGTGGCCTTTGACTTACCTGCACCCTAGCCTCGGTCAAATCAATTTTCGTTGCAATTTCTTCACGGGTATAGATGTCGGGATAGTGTGTCTCTTGAAATATTTTCTCCAGCTCTTTGATTTGGGCTGAACTAAATGTGGTACGCATCCGCCGCTGTTTTTGTCGATCACTTTGATAGGCATCGGCTTTTAAATCTAAAAGACAAAGGGAGATAAAGAAAAGAGAAGAGAGATGATTAAAAATAAATCCGCAGATTAAATCTGTAATCAAAAATGTAATGCTGTCACCCTGGCCCCCCTGCCCCCACTAAAACATGGACATTTATTTGGTAAATTTTTCGAACAGCAAACAATTTTCATAATAGTATTCATTAATTTATAATACGGAACTATTGGTTAAGGTATGCTATAAAGGACAGAAGGAAGAAGGATAAACATTAACGAAACTCCCACACACATACATACATATGTACTACTTGTTTATGTGTGTGTAAAACTTATTTATTTGTTTTTATGGTCCTTTGGTGGTGGTGTTGGTCGTCGTTTTGTTGCGATTATTTTTAGAACATGACTTTTGACGCAGCTATCAGACAATCCGACGGATATATGTCTGTCGTAGTTCATCTTCTTCCCATTCCCCCTTAGCTGCGGGTGGAGTATAATTGCTTGGAAGTTAACAGATTTCATTTTTTATGTTCCTTCTTTTTTTTTTTTTTGTTAATGAACAAAAACTGTTCATAATTCATAAATTATGTTGTCTGGCAAGAGAGGGATGGCGCCCAACATTCAATGGGTGGGCGGTTTTACACCATGTAATTCTTTTGTATGCTTATTTAATGGTGTTTTAGTTACACTTAATTTTAACACTTCAATTCAAGAGCTGCTGGTTGGGTGAGGGGGTGGTGGGTGGTAAAGGGCTGCTGGTTTCTGTCTCCATTCTCCCCCTCTCTCTCTCAACAAAATTGAAATTAACTTTTCCCTTACAACACGATTTCCATAACAAGATGAGGATGTCGTTCTATTATTATTATGTTGTGAGAAATGATAATAAACATAGCAAAGGACATTACCAAATAAACATAATCAACAACAACAAGGAAAAGAAGCAGATTATCAATACCAATACCACCATCTATCTATTCATCCATCCGTCTGTCCGTACAACATCCTGACATCTCTATCAGCACCACTAGCACCCACCCATCCACCATCATACCACACAGTGGCTAACACGATTCATTAAATTGTTTTTATTTGCCATTTTCCCTTTTTGTGTTGTTGCTTTGTTTGTTGTTTTTGTTTGCATTACAATTACTGGCTGAGCCGAAGCCGCCCGAGCCGCCACCGCCTGTGTCATGCAATCAAGAAACAGGCAGAAAATTAGAGGGGTTGGACGGGCGGTCGGTCGATTGTTTGGTTTATTCGTTGATTAATCCAACTACAGGACCAATGCACACAAACAATTATAAACTCGCAAACACACACACACACACTTATTCGTAGATAGATTTCTAATAATTTGTACGAGGTCTAGTTGAAAAGTTTTTGAATAAGGGGAATTTTAAATAAAAAATATCTCAATACGCCTTGGAAATTTTCTTTAAAAAATCCACGCCTTAAGACCTCCAAAAGCCTTTGAAATGTTCTTAAAAAAATCCACGCCTTAAGACCTCCAAAAGCCTTTGAAAATTTCTTAAAAAAATCCACACCTTAAGACCTCGAAAAGCCTTTGAAAATTTCTTTAAAAAATCCACACCTTAAGACCTCGAAAAGCCTTTGAAAATTTCTTTAAAAATCCACGCCTTAAGACCTCGATATGCCTTGGAAAATTTCTTTAAAAATCCACGCCTTAAGACCTCGATATGCCTTGGAAAATTTCTTTAAAAAATCCACGCCTTAAGACCTCGATATGCCTTGGGAAAATTTCTTTAAAAAATCCACGCCTTAAGACCTCGATATGCCTTGGAAAATTTCTTTAAAAAATCCACGCCTTAAGACCTCGATATGCCTTGGAAAATTTCTTTAAAAAATCCAGGACCAATGCACACAAACAATTATAAACTTGCAAACACACACACACTTATTCATAGATAGATTTCTAATAATTGTACGAGGTCTAGTTGAAAAGTTTTTGAATAAGGAGAATTTTAAATAAAAAAGACCTCCAAAAGCCTTTGAAAATTTCTTTAAAAAATCCACGCCTTAAGACCTCCAAAAGCCTTTGAAAATTTCTTTAAAAAAACCACGCCTTAAGACCTCCAAAAGCCTTTGAAAATTTCTTTAAAAAATCCACACCATAAGACCTCCAAAAGCCTTTGAAAATTTCTTTAAAAAATCCACACCTTAAGACCTCCAAAAGCCTTTGAAAATTTCTTTAACAAATCCACGCCTTAAGACCTCTAAAAGCCTTTGAAAATTTCTTTAAAAAATCCACGCCTTAAGACCTCCAAAAGCCTTTGAAAATTTCTTCTTTAAAAAATCCACGCCTTAAGACCTCCAAAAGCCTTTGAAAATTTCTTTAAAAAATCCACGCCTTAAGATCTCCAAAAGCCTTTGGAAATTTCTTTAAAAAATCCACGCCTTAAGACCTCCAAAAGCCTTTGAAAATTTCTTTAAAAAATCCACGCCTTAAGACCTCAATAAGAAAAAAATCCTAATTTCTGTGCCTTGGAAAAATTCGTTAAAAAATTAACGCCTTAAGGCCTTAATGTGTGTTGGAAAAATTCTTTAAAAATCCACGCCTTAATGCTTAATATGTGTTGGAAAAATTCTTTAAAAATCCACGCCTTAAGGCCTTAATGTGTTAGAAAAATTCTTTACAAAATTCACGCTTTAAGGCCTTAATGTGCCTTGGAAAAATAGTTTAACAAATCCACGCCTTAATGCGTGTTGCAAAAAAATCTTTTGTCCCTATTTTCTAAATGGCGCCCAACGTGGGACGTTGATTTTCAATACAAACATACAGAAATTTTATGGCAATTTGTTAAGGGTTTTAATTTTTTTCATTACTATTGTCCTTGGTTATTACAGATTCTACTGATGGCGCCCAACGTGGAACTGCATTCATTGATGGTTGAAGGATCACATTAATATTGTTTCAATTATTGGAAATATTTGTTTAATAGTTTTTATTAATAATTGTCTAATGTCTTATGCCACCTATAATAACAAGCAGGGACACAATATATAAAAATCTAAAATATAAAAAATCTAAAAAATCATCAGACATACATTGGGCGCCACTTGAAATTGAATAGAAATGAAAAATTGGAGGAACCACCACACAAAGACTACGCTTATTAGAAGCATCCGCGATATATTTTATGTTTATGTGAAATAAATTTACCCCACGTTGGGCGCCACTTAAACATACATTGGGCGCCAAATAAAAAAAGCATAACAAAATGACAGAATAGACATGAAACATTAGAGGAATCAACACAAAGACTAAACTTATTAGAAGCATCTGCGATATGTTGTATGCTATTATCTAACAATATCACTCCGCGTTGGGCGCCATCTTAAAAAAAGACAAAAATTAAGCATAACAAAATTACAGTATAGAAATAAAGCATGGCAGGAATCTACACAAAGGATTCATATATTAGATAAATCAGATCAGCTGATATTAGACATCAAAGTCGATGACTAAAGGTCCACAAACTATGTTTTTGTTGATACCATTTTTAAAAGGCAGAGTTTATAATCGCAGCCCTTTATTGGGCGCCACTTAAGTAGTCCATATTTATATAACAATATTAATTACTTTACACGTTACTTTGAAATAGACACATGAAATAACAACATTGTTCTACCAAAAGTATCCAGCCAATACATTATATAAAATGCAATAATCATTACCCCACTTTGGGCGCCACTTTGATATAGACATATAAAGCACAACGGCTAATAGATACTACCAGCATTTTCACATTAATGATAGGTCTGTCGAACCCTATTACAAACGGCATATTAAATGGAATGTGATTACAAATTATACGAGATGAAATATGAAGACGTTTTGCTGATTACCTGATCCACCAATAGATCTTTTTTGAGATCAGCTGCTTTAAGACATCGAAGTCGGTGATAAAGGTCCACTTGATCAGCTATTTAGATCAGACAATGTTAGCTTAGTTATCAATATATTTTTGTTGATATCATTTTTAAAGGGCAGAGTTTATAATCGAATGCCTGTGTTGGGCGCCACCTTAGTAGTCCATATTCATGTAGCAATTACTTTACACCCCACTTTGAAATTGACACATAAAATAACGACATTTTTCTGCCAAAATTCTCCAGCCAATTAACTAAAAAAATGCTATAATACTTACTCTACCTTGGGCGCCTCTTTCGGTTATAAGGACAGAATTCAAGGTTCATATCATATCGTTTATAACAACTATCGCATAATGCGACCAATTTGGAGGGTCCGTTTACTGTCGTTATAAACGACAAAACGGTTATTAATGGGAATGTGATTACAAATTATAAGACAAGAATCATTGATGGATATTTCACGAAATTCCGAATGAAGACTTTTCGCTGGCAACCTAAGAACATCTACATGTTACAGCGAAATCTAAGTATAAAAAACTAAGAGAATCGATGAGAATTAGTTGTACCCGGAATAATGTTGGCATATCACAGTGATATCGGAGACCGATCATTTGTTTCATAAGCCGAGTTTAAAAAAAATTTTCCTGGTGAGTCGGTCTTGTGTGCTGCTCTTCCCATTTGAAAGACCAGGTTTCAAAATATTGTCTTTCACAGGACTTTTTCATCGAATTCGTGGCCTACCCTGTTTTGCGAGAACAATCAGTTGGCTCGCTTTTATATGCCTTTTGAGCTGGACCATCCTCAATTGTCACAATATGACCTATCCAACATAATCGTAAAATCGAGAATACCAATACCATACCAATGCGGCTTCAGGCCTGGCAAATCCACAAGATTTTCACTCTGCGCCAAATCCTGGAAAAGGCCCACGAAAAACAAATCGGCATTCGTTCAGAGGTGTTTGAAGCCATGTCTGCGTTCGGCATTTCTGCAAAATGAATACGACTATGCAGGATAACGTTAATTGCCACAAAGTCAGCAATTAAAGTCGGAAAGCACCTCTCGAAGAACTTTAGTACTGAACGAGGATTCAGACAAGGTGACAGTTTGTCGTGTGATCTTCTTAACATCCTGCTTGAAAAGGTCATACGAGAGGCAAATGTGAACAGAAATGGCAATTTGTACACCAAACATCATATGTTGCTCGCCGATGACATCGTAGTGGGCAGAACATTGCAAGCGGTAAGTCACGTTTGAAACTAATTGAGAAGGACTCGTTGGGCTGGCAGTAAATGGCAAGAAGACCAAGCTGTGGAACTTGAAAACTACAGCTTCGAGGTAGTGAATGACTTTATATACCTCGGTACCGCCATATGCAAAACTAACAACATCAGCTTTGAAATCCGGAGAAGAATAGTTTTGCCCAACAGATGCTACTATGGTGAGTAAGAAATTCCAATACCACCTCTCGCCAGACTAAACTCACAGTCTACAAGATACTGATACTACCCGTGCTGTTGTATGGATCTGAAGCTAGGGTACTCGCACAAACAGATCTATGGGCCTATATGCGTCGATGGTAAATATCGACGTCGATGTGTTGTGTACCATGTATTCTCGGACATCGACATAGTCAGACGTTTCGAGCTACAGCGACTACGTTGGTTAGGTCATGTTGTGACAATGGATGAAAGAAAATTTCTCCGCAAGCAGATGAGTCAGCTCTTGGAGTATTTGAGAGAAAATGTCTGAGGAAGATCTATGGAACAATCTGTGTCGACGGTGAATGTCGCCGTTGAATGAACCATTTTAGCTGTACCATCTATTCTCGGACATTGACATAGTCAGACGTACCGAGCTACAGCGGCTACATTGGCTAGGCCATGTTGTGAGAATGGATGAGTGAAAAATTATCCGAAAGCAGATGAGGCAGCTCTTGGAGAATTTGAGAGAAAAATTCTCCGGAAGATCTATGGGCCAATCTGCGACGACGGGGAATATCGCCGTTGAATGAACCATGAAATCGACATAGTCAGACGTATCGAGCTGCAGCTACTACATTGGCTAGGTTATGTTGTGACAATGGTTGAAGATGCCCAAGCTCAAAAGGCCTATAAAAACGAACCAGCTGATGGTCATTCAAATTGGAAGAACTGCACAAGAGACCGACGCGTCTGGAAATCTTTTTTAAGATATTTATCTTCATATTTTTTTAAGGTTTCTTCAAGTCCTGATATAGTCAACAAATTTCTATTTATGATTTCAAGAAGATCCTGTGAGTCCTATCAGCTTTGATACTAAATTATTGGAAGCCCAAACCAATTTTACATTTTTTCTTATATCCTCCATCTTCTGCATCGGAACATCCTCCCACTTGCAAAAATTCAACCCCTGCAGTTTATTAGCCAATCTTTGGTGTAAGCAATATTTCATGTCCCATGGCCAGCAATTAAGTGATCAACATTCCCAACCCTCCCCAAATGGCTTCCAAAGCATCCTTTGCTATCCTTTATATTCCCTTTGTATTCCTTCTGTGGATGGGTCGGGTGTTTGGGTAAAGCAATAAAAATAAATTTGAATTACCTGAAAATTGATTATTTATACTGTTAACAATGGCGGCGGCGGAAGATGATGACGGCGGTGAAGGCGGCGACGACGAGGTGGAATTCAATGTCGCTGGATTATAATTGAAATAAATATCCGATTCATCTTGATTTTCATATATCACGGGCGGTATACTAATGGCTGCAGCGGCAGCAGCAGCGGCGGCGGCGGTATTCGCGGCATGACCGTGGCAATTTTTAAAATGATCCATAACGAAATCGTAACTGGAGAGGATATCGCGACCGATAACATTGCTATGATGTGGATGGTGATGATGATGAGAATGATGATAGAATGATGTCTTGGCGGAATCTTTGAGATTTTCCGTTAGCACGAAATTCTTCAGGGAGGTGTATTCCATAATTGGGAATTAGGGAGTAATTTGTTTGCTCTGCTTTCCTTTTTTATTTAATTTTTCTTTCTAATTTTTTTGTTAATTAAATTATCACACCAATAACACTAAAAATAATAATAAGGATAACACTGACAATAATTGAGGTCCGTTGACACTTGATTTGCCTATTTCAATATTCGTTGTCGTTATTGTGTTAATTTTCCAAAACAATTTTATTATTCGGAGCAGCAACAGTAGCAGCGGTGGAAGTGCCACTTCTTCTTTATCAAATGAAAAAACCTTGCAATTAATACACATATTACGGTCTGTGAATTTTTGAGGAGCAGAATGAAAATAGCAGCTCTCAATGCTGGTCCATCGACAAAACAACTACTTGAACGTTAACGACACGACACACTCGGGGTACACACACACACTCTCCACGCTCGGTCTGTGGTGCGTATGGTGGCTAAATGGCTGTGGAAGCACAACAAGCCAACCATCTATCCATCCATCCTGCCAGCAGATGAACCAGCCCAGCCAGGCAGCCAGCCATAGAGTAGCAAATTTCACACAAAAGGCGTTACCAAATAAAATAGGGGTGGAAAAACAATAGCAACAGCTACAATAAAAACAACAACAACAGCGAACACATTTCCCTTGTGACACCACTACAATAATTGTGTCAAGCATGCTCGGATGCTTACAACCACTGTCACTTCCTTCATGCATGCATGCTGCAATTTTTTTTTTTGACACCTTACCTCAGGGGGATTATAATGCGAAGTGGTCAAGGGTACTGTCATTTTATGTTCATTTGACAAGTTACAACCCCCTGATCGATTTCGTAACAAATACCCATAATCATTGTGTCCAATATATAGATAATGTGGAAATGATATTTGATATCCTCCCCCTCGGACAGAAGATATTGAACAATCGATGTAGGGTAAAACAATTTTCCATACGAAGAAAATTTGTTATGATTTTTGGGGCTGTGCCAATTATTCGGAGCTACAGTTATTGGTTAAGGCATATCGATGCGTTGAGAAGGATGTGACAGAGTAAGGGAGGGGAATTGTGATAAGTCCAAAAAATTGAATCGATACTCAAAAAATTATAGGAAAATTGATATTGAAAAAAATAAAAAATATGGTGTCTCAACATCTCAAATTTCTAGGCCATAGAATTCTGATACGTTGGGCGCCATTTTATACACTACTTGCCAATTCTCCGAAAACTATTGAAATTCCTAAGTAAAAAGTAGTTAGACTCAAACGACTAATGGATAAGCATTCACCATCCAGGCATATCAGGAAGTATCTTCACGATCTAGAGAGAGACAGAGAAAAAAGTCCAGAGATACAAAATTGAGCCTCCAGACCAACAGAATGCAGTTGAGGAATTTTTCAAATTTCTAGCAAGCGGTAATATTTACAAAAAACACTGACACCAGCCATAGAATTCTGATACGTTGGGTGCCATTTTGTACACCACTTGCCAATTCACCGAAACCTACAAAAATGCTTAAGTAAAAAGTTGTTGGGTTCAAACGACTAATGAATAGCCATGCACCGACCAGGCATATCGGAAAGTATCTTCACAATCTAGAGAGGGAGAGAAAGGTTCAGAGATACAAAATACAGCCTTCAGATCAATAGGATTGAATTGTATTCCAACTGATGCAGTTGAGGAATATTTCGAATTTCTAGCTGGCGGTAATATTTACAGAAACACTGACATCAGCCATAGAATTCTGATACGTTGGGCGCCATTTCCTACACCACTAGCCAATTCTCCGGAACCTATAGAAATGCCTAAATAAAAAGTAGTTGGGCTCAAACGACTAATGGATAGGGATCAATCGTCCAGATCTTCACAATCTATAGAGAGGGAGAAATGTTCAGAGATACAAAATCCAGCCACGTGATGCAGTTGAGGAATTTTTTATACTTCAAATCAATAGCGTGTCTCAACAGCTCGAATTTCTAGCAAGCGGTAATATTTACAGAAACACTAATACCAGGCGGAGGTGATATTGTGGTTGACTTATTTTATATCTCTCAGGGGATTGGATAAATTTTCGATTTCGATTCTACTCCATCTAATCTATACAGTTTAGCTATGTAACTATCTTCAGAAATGTTGGGCGCCATATCTACTTTGTGCCTTATCAGCCTTCTTGGAGGCGTTTTTACCTCCGTCTTCGTGGATGCTGGTGTCTAAGACGTCTCAGTACTCAGTTTACCCTTGGGAGGTGCTGGGGGCCTAGACGTCTCAGGCACCAGCTTCCTAGATGTACTAGGACCTCCGAAAGTTTTCTCCTTCTTTGAAGGGACTACCGTGGCGGTCTTCACACTAGGTCTAGGAATCGTTTCAATCATGAAGTCCCTCGCAATATTAATCGGATAGTTCCTGGATAACCTCAAATTCATCCGGGTTAATTTGAAGTTCCTCTTGATCAAAAGGAACTCCTTTTCCGTGATGGAGTCACTGTACCGTCCGATGAATCGGTTGCAGTAGTTATTACATCTATCTGTGTTATTATATACATATTCTTGGCAGCGATCTGCTTGGTGTTGACTTGTCTTGCAGTTTCTGGTACTGATGATTCATCCACCTTAATGACGGGAGCCAGTCTCCGTATCGACAGCCAACTACCTGAGAAGTTTTGCGACGTCACTACAGGCCATGGAGATGGAGTTCGGATCTTCAACCTCGCCAGGGTTTTCACCCCTATTCATTATCTGGGAGGACTCACCTTGCTTCCGAGGAAACACCAGGATAACTATCGTGTTCGTAACGGTAGTACTAATCACTGTAGGGTTTATGATGTCTTTATCGTCTAACAAGTTTGAGTCATCCCAGAGTTGATTCGGTATGTTCTTCTGACTAAGGCGGAAGAAGCTGGTTTCCTCTAATACGTTGAGAAGAAGATATGTCTGGCCGTCCAGGCTTTCGTCCACGTCATCGAGAGTAACATGACTTGAACCAAAGAGAGGTCTACGACATTACCTTGGGTCGTCAACATTTGTGGGGGTTCATTGATGTCTGACCTTGTAGAGTTCGAGACTGAGGGTGCCAAGGCAGCCACACCAGCATCAGTCGAAAAAAATCGCATACCACGTTGTTTTCTTTTTTAGAAGTGGGGTCATTATAATTCGGCTCCATAGAAATTGCTTTTGGTGAGGGATTGAGGTCGACCATGACATAGCCTCTTACTGTGGCAAGGACTTGACAACTAAGCCTGAATAAACTTGTTGAGGTGCCCAGGTATCAACAAGGCAATGTTTTAATACAGTCGGGACCCTGACTGCAAACCATAGAACGCTGATGGGCACGAGGTCGCATGATACCCCAGCGTTAGGGGGGTAAGAGGTAGTGACGCAGACCTTTGAGATAGTTATTTAGGGGCGCCATTCCCACCTCATCAGCACAGGGATCATAAGCACCAGGTCATTTCCTCTGAGAATCTGCCCCCGAGACCGCTGATTGTCCGCGACTGTTAATTTCTTATTCACAGTTTCCCAATGATTAGCATTGGGCTTCCCACTATCCGCAACCTGTGAACGCATCCGTTAGCATTCAGCTCTGCTCCCCGAAGGCGAAAATTATAACTACCTTCAGAAATGTTGGGCGCCATGTCTAGTTTACAGTTTGGCGCCAGCTATCAAAAAACATTTCAAAATGTTGTTACAATGAGATGGTTATTTAGGGATGCCATTTTCTCCTCGTCAGCGCAGGGATCAGAAATGTTGGGCGCCATGTCTTATTTACAGTTTGGCGCCAGCTATCAAAAAACACTTCAAAATGTTGTTGCAATGTGATGGTTATTTAGGGACGCCATTTTCGCCTCGTCAGCTCAGGGATCATAGATCGATCATTTCCTCCGTGACTCTGCCACCGAGCCCGCTGATTATCCGCGACAGTTTATATGTTATTTGTTATTCTGTGGACGGTTCCGTTAGCATTTAGCTCTGCTCCCCGTAGGCGGAACATGTAACTACCTTCAGAAATGTTGGGCGCCATGTGTAGTTTACAAACACTTAAAAAATTTTGTTACAATGGAGTCTGACTGCAAATCATAGAACGCTGATGAGCACTAGGTCGCACGACAGCCCAGCGTAAGAGGTAGTGACCCAGACCTTGGATGGTTATTTGGGGACGCCATTCTCGCCTCGTCAGCTCAGGGATTATAGGTACTCGGTCATTTCCTCCAAGACTCTCCCCCTGAGCTCGCTGATTATCCGCGACGGTTTATTTGTTATTCACAGTTACCCAATGAATAGTATTGGGCTTCCAACTATCCGCAACCTGTGGATGCGTCCGTTAGCATTCATCTCTGCTCCCCGAAGGCGGAAAATTTAACTACGTTCAGGAATGTTGGGCGCCATGTCCAGTTTACAGTTGGGCGCCAGCTATCTAAAAACACTTAAAAAAATGTTGTTACAATGGACCCTGACTGCAAACCATAGAACGCAGATGAGCACTAGGTCGCATGACAACCTAGCGTTAGGGGGGTCAATTTGAGAGGATGGTTATTTGGGGACGCCATTCTCGCCTCGTCAGTTCAGGGATTATAGGTACTCGGTTATTTCCTCCGTGACTCTCCCCCTGAGCCCGCTGATTATCCGCGACTGTTTATATGTTATTTGTTATCCTGTGGACGGGTCCGTTAGCATTTAGCTCTGCTCCCCGAAGGCGGGAAATGTAACTACCTTCAGAAATGTTGGTGACCATATCTAGTTTACAGTTGAGCGCCAGCTATCTAAAAACATCTAAAAATGTTGTTACAATGGACCCTGACTGCATACCATAGAACGCTGATGGGCACGCGGTCGTATGACACTCCAGCGTTAGGGGGTCACTTTAAGAGGTGGTGACCCAGACCTTAGATTGTTATTTGGGGACGCCATTCTCGCCTCGTCAGCTCAGGGTTTATAGGTACTCGGTCATTTCCTCCAAGACTCTCCCCCTGAGCTCGCTGATTATCCGCGACTGTTTATTTGTTATTCACAGTTACCCAA